GTGAACTGTCTTTAAAAAGATCTACAACATTGTTTAGGTTGGAAGATACTCAAGTTATTAAGCGAGCACTTGCATTCAAGTCCTTCATTGATGATGCTGACTTCTCTAAATACAGTCTTTCCAACATGATTGCTATGGATGAAACTGCAGTGTTTATGGGCCAATCATCTCAAACAACAATTGAACAGCGGGGTACTCCTTAGTGTACATTTCCTCCACTGCTTATGAAAGTGCACGTGTTTCCTGTATTTTGGCAATTTGTCTGGATGGCACTAAAATCCCACCTTTAATCATTTCTAAGGGCAAGAAGGAAAAGATTGAACGTGTTTGGGGAGTTTTTATTCTTGAAACTGAAAAAGCCTGGGCCACACAAGCAGTTATAAGGAAGTGAGTCGATTTAAAGCTGCCGCTTGTTATGCGAGGGAGCCAAAGAGGTCTGCTAGTCTAGGATGCAGGCAGAACTCACCAAGCTAAAGACATGAAGACATTTCTTCAAGAAAGAAAAATAGATCAGATAATGATTCCCACAGGAATGACGGCCTATCTCCACACTCTTGATATTGCATTAAACAAGCCATTCAAAGATAATTTGTTCATGGAAATTAATGACTACATTGAAAATAGAATGGAGAGAAATCAGCGTGGAAACTTTGTGAAACCAAAACTGCAAGAAGTTGTGAGTTGGGTGAAGAATTCATGGGAGAAAATCACTGACAGTTGCATTGCAAATGCACTGCGAGCAGGCTACCTTGACAAGAAGTACTCATTTAAAGACAGTGCTATTGCTAAACATTAGAGATTTGGTCCACTGATTCTGAAAGAAATGGAGTCACAAGAAATTCACCAGGAAATTCAGGAATTAGATTGTTATGATGATGTTCCAGAAGATGATGACATGATTGTCATTGAATAAATGAATAAATTCTTGATACTGTAGGATTCACAGTTTGTCTGGTTTGTGTTGACAACTACCATACTACAGTACCATATACAGGTAATAAATTTCCTTTATTTCCATTTAACAATAAATGTGTACCGTATTCTTCTTCATGGAAAAATAAGACATCCCCTGAAAATAAGACCTAATGCATCTTTGGGAGCAAAAATTAATATAAGACACTGTCTTATTTTCGGGGAAACAGGGTAGATTCTTTTGAAAAATCAGCTGATAATCCTATGGGTGCTCCCTTATAGGTAACTAACTGTTTTTCTCTTGCTGCTTGTAAGATTCTCTCTTTGTCTTTTGCCCTTGGCATTTTAATTATGATGGTATGGTCCTTGGTATGGTCCTGCCAGTGCCAGCCGGCAATGTACCAGACCTAAATGAGGAGGTGAGGATAAGAAAAGACAGACAAGAACAAGCTGGGAACAGGAGGATGGAGTCTGGGTTGGCTGCTGTCCCGAGTTTATTTCTTAGCTCGTTTTTATACAGCAAAAGCAGGGAGGTACAAGATACAGGTCAGCAGATAAATATCTGCTGGCCTTTAGGCTAAGTATTTCCCCAGCACCACATCTTTGTTTCTGTATGTAAGCAGAGAATTGTTTCCTAATCTATACGCAAGCAGCAGGTTAAACAGTATATGTTATTCTTTAGAAAGATCAGTAGTATTTTTACATTAACAAGCTGCAAAACAAGCTGAACAGCACGTTCTCATGAGAGCTATGACTTTTGTCCTACCAGAGCTGTGTCCACCAAGAGACCCCTGCTTTCAGGGCAGCTCCGAGGAAAAAGTCCCCTGTTTTCAGGGCAGCTCCCAACATGGTCCTCTTTGGATTCCTTTTGTTTGGGGTCCTGTGTGCTTCCTGGACGTGTAAGTCTATTTCTTTCACCAGGTGGGGGAAGTTTTCTGACATTATTTCTTCAAATAGGTTTTCAGTATCTTGCTCTTTCTCTTCTTCTGGCACCCCTATAATTCTGATGTTGGTATGCTTGAAGTTGTCTCTGAGGCTCTTTACACTATCTTCAACTTTCTGGATTCTCTTCTCTTTTTGCTTCTCCAGAGGACTGTTCTTTGCCTCTTTGTATTCCAAATCTTTTACTTGATTCTTGCGTTCCTCTAGTCTGCTTTTGGGTCTCTATAATATTTTTTTATTTCAGTCAGTGTATGTTTAATTTCTAGTTGGTCCTTTTTCATATCCTCGAGGGTCTCATTAAATTTATCAGCCTTTTCTAGGAAATTCTTGAAAAACCTTATAACTGTGGTTTTGAACTCTATATTCAGTCTTTTGTTCTCCTCCATTTCTTTTGTTTGAGATCTGTTTCCTTCTCTCGGCATTTTTGCTGCTTCCCTGAGTTGGTATGGTGGCTTTGAGTGTTTGATGTCCTATATGGCCCAATAGGTCAACCTCCCCAGTTACCTGAGGTAGACACTTATGGTGCTCCCCTTTGTATACTGCGTGTACAGCCTTGTTGTAGTTAAGTCTTGATTGTTGTTGGTATCCCTGGGAGGAATTGACCTCCAGGCCAATTGGATGAATCAGCTGATACCTTCTGTATTGGAGACAGTCTTATAGGATCAGACTTGCAAAATTGCAAAAGCCTCTGTGCTCAGCTTGGATGAAGTGGAATCTCAGGGCTGAGCCAACAATCTTGGCTTCCTGTTAGTCCTGCCCTTGTACACACACCTCAGACCTCTGCCTTCCATGCTCCCCTGAGTTTCTGCCTGACAGTCCAAATCCCCCCTGTAAGAATGTGGGTGCTCTGCTCGCCAGGAGCTGGGTTTCAGTGCTCAGTACAGTTGGAACTGGGATTCAATGCAGTCAGGAGCTTCCAACTTCTTCTGCTATGGAGAGGCCGCAGCAACCTCTGCGGTAAGACCTCTCTGCACACACTCACTCATGCACCTCTAGACCCTGCCTGCTGCCGCTCCCAGTCTCTGAGTCTCCGGGTGCCTTTCTCTACAGTCCAAACTCCACCCGTATGAGCCTGGGTCCACGGGGTTTCGGCCGGGACTGGGGTTCATTGCATTCAGAACTGGGGTTTGGTGCAGTTGGGGGCTTCCTTTCCCCTCCTGCCAGCCAGGCACTCGGCTGCCCTTCCTCTGCGCATATGTCTCCCTACCTAAGTGCTTTGTGGCTCCCCTGATCCATGAGCCTCTCTCCTTCTTTCTGGTTGTAGATTTCCCACTCTGCCAGCTTTCCAGTAGTTTTGGATGATGTCCATTCTGTCTTTTAGTTGTTGTTTTGAGATTGTTGTGCGAGGCAGCAGTTTAGACACTTACCTAGGCCTCCATCTTGTGGGGGTTTTTTTTGTTTGTTTGTTTTTTGTTTTTTTGTGTTTTTTTGTTTGTTTTTTTGTTTGTGTGTGTGTGTGTGTGTGTGTGTGTGTGTGTTATTTTTTATTTATTTTTTTCGAAAACAAGCAATTTAAGTAGTATATTGGATGACAATTACTATGGAAAAAAGAAACACTAGAATATAGTAAGGAGGATAGAGAACATGTTAGAAGAGCAAAATAGAGAGATAGGGAAGGGCAAGTTGAAATATTAGCAAAGACTTGAAGATGAGGAAGTTAGCAAAAGAGATAATAGGAGGATGATCCTTCCAGGCAGAGCTGCAAATAAGGCCCAATATGGGAACTACTCTAAGCACAGCCAGGAGGCCATGATGGCTAGAGAGGAGTGATCCAGGACTACAGAGCAAGGAAGGAGAGATTGTGCACCAGTCTTGGTACAGGGCTTTGCTGGCCATGTAAAGACTCTGGTTTTACTCCATAAAATGAAGAACCATTGCAGGATTGTGAACAGAGGAGTGACCTAACCTGACTTGTATCTTGTTTGTTTTTGTTAATCCTCACCTGAGGATATTGTCCCCATTAATTTTTAGATAGAGTGGAAGGGAGGAAAGGAGGAGGGAGGGAGAGAGAGAGCGTGAGACAGAAACACTGATGTGAGAGACACATCGATTGGTTGTCTCCCTCACAAATCCTGTCTGGGCCAGAGTTTGGACCTGCAATCCAATATGTGTCCTGGACTGGGAATCATACCTGAGGTGTTCAGGCCTATGTTCTAACCACTGTGCACACTGGCCAGGGCCTGACTTATGTTTTAAACAAATCTCACTGATCATTGTATTGAGAATAGACTATGGGGATCAAGAGAGAACTGTTGATGATTATTGCAATAACCAGAGGGGATAAAATGATGGTGGCTTGGACTTGGGTGGCAGCAGTAAAGCCAGTATGTTTTTGCCCTGGCTAGGTGTCTCAGTTGTTTGAAGCCTCATCCATTGCACCCAAAGTCTATGGACTCAATCCCCAGTCAGGGCACATACCTAGGTTTTTGTTCCATCACTAGACACATATAGGAGGCAATTAGTGATGTTTCTCTCTCACAACATCTCTCTCTCTCTCTCTTTAATAAATAAACATATTCTCTGGTAAGGATTAAAAAAAAAGGGGGGCCTGCAGGCTTTGCTGATGGATGTATATGGAGGGTAAGAGAAAGTGAACTCTGGGAGGCATCTACTAAAAGGGGAAGACTGTAAGGAACTGGTGTGGGAGCGTTTAAAAGGGGTTGTTTTGGACAACTAAGTGGATTGGGATATACAAATCTAGAGTTCAGAGAGAGAGAGAAAGATCTAGAAACCTGAGGAAATAAATTTGGAAAATGTGAATAAACGGATTATTTTAAGTGTAATAATGAAGGTAATGTCAGGAAAAAATAAAGTTGTAGATGTCTTTTATTGTAGGTTTATTAATTGTCAAGAATTATGCAGGATCCTGTGGGTTGGTTCATTTAATCCCAATAAAATGAGAAGGGAGTTAGGACAGATATTTACTATCAGGGACAGAACCACAACAGTCTCTGCTCTCAGAGCCAGTTTTAACAAGGAATTCTGTCTGGGTTTGAAGACCAGCAAATAACACTTTTCTCCCCCTTCTGGGGGTGAAGCCCTTCGGGTCCCTCGCACCCAGGGATCCAACTCAGAGCGTCCCATCAGAGACCGCAGCCCGGCCCACGCGGTGCGCTTGCGCACTAAGCCTCACTTGCGGGGGGCGGGACTTGGGCGGCCGCGCTCCGCTCGTTGCTAGGAGACGCAGGGGCCTCCTAAACCAAGGTGGTCGGCTGCCCAGCCCACTGATCCCGAGTGGGGACCACAGGCACCTCCGCGCTCTCCTGCGAGCTCCAGGTGGGGCGCCCGCCTCTCCAGGCCGCCCGGGGAGGGTAACCGCGGGGGCGGGGCCGGGCGGGGAAGGCGGGGCTCCGCGGGGGGCCTCCGCACCTCCTCCCGCTCCAAGCCCGGCTTCGCCCCTCCCGTGTCTGCGCTCCTCGTCCGTTTGGGGACGCGTCCTGGCTGCTTCTGAGTTGATATTACCTCGGGTTTGATCTCTGGAGTTTCGGATCCTGATTCTCCATAGTCTCCCAGCTGCCCTCACGCCCTTCCCTTTAGGGGCCACGATTCTGGGGCCTCCGTTCAGGTCCCTCCCAGGGGCCAGTCAGTGGGTTCCCAGCTTTTAATGTCTCTTCCATCCCCGTGGGCAGTCTGCAGCTCTCCCCGCCCTAGTCTTCTTCCTTCTCTTTTTCCCTTCACAGGTGTTAGGGGTGCATCAGGGTGTGAAAGCTTTTCCTGCAGACTCCTGATCACTTTCCTTATGTTTCATAAACTTTACCCCCGATAAATTTCAGGGTTCCAGAAGTGATACAGACACACAAAATAATTACAATAGTTCCCTCCCTTCCCCCCACCCCTTATCCGCATTTTTGCTTTCCGTGGTTTCAGTTAATCTACAGTTAACCATGGTCCGAAAATATTACGTGGAAAATCCCAGAACAAACAATTAATAAATTTTAAATTGCAAGCCAATCTGAGAAGCGTGATAAAATCTCTTGCCTGCCGGCTCCATCCCAGCCAGAACATAAATCATCCCTTTGCCAAGTGTCTCCACGCTCTATGCTCCCTGCCCCTTCGTCATTTACTAGCCCTCTGGGTTATCCAGCCCATAATGCGAGAGAAACAGAGAGAGATCACATTCACATAACTTTGATTATAGTAGATTGTTATAACTTTTTCATTTTATTATTAGTTGTTAATCTTTATGCCTAATTTATAAGTTGAACTTTATCATAGGTAGCTAAGTATAGGGGGAAAAAAAACATCTATATATATAAAAGGCCAATATGCAAAGTGTCCCTTTGGGAGTTCCACCAGGAGACTTGGAGTACGATTGCTCACTACAACTTGCGTTGAATAAGGGGCAGTGCAGCATGAAGGAAGGCCCAGGCCTAGGGACCCTACCTGTGCACAAATTTCATGCATCAGGCCTCTAATAGTGTATACATAGGGTTTAGTATACTTTGAATATTTCTTGCCAGTCCCTTCTGGCCTGCCAAGTTTCTGTTGTGAAATTAGCTGATAGTTGTGTGGGCATACCCTTCTAGGTAACTACTGTTTTCTCTTGCAGCTTTTAAGATTCTCTCTTTGTCATTAACTTTTGGCATTTTAATTATGATGTGTTTTGGTGTGGGCCTCTTTGGGTTTCTTTTGTATGGGACTCTCTCTGTGCTTCCTGGACTTATAAGACTATTTCTTTCAAAGGTAGGGGAAGTTTTCTGTCATTATTTCTTCAAATAGATTTTCAATATTGTGCTCGCTCTCTCCTCCTTCTGGCACCCCCCTACTTCTAATGTTGGTACACTAGAAGTTGTCCCAGAGGCTTATTGCACTGTCTTCATATTTTTGGATTCTTTTTTCTTTTTTCTTTTCTGATTGGATTTTTTATTTATTTATTTATTTATTTATTTTTGCTTCTTCATATTCCAAATTACTGATTTTATTCTTAGAATCCTCTACTGTTTAATACCTGTAAATTGTTCTTTATTTCAGTTAGTGTATGCTTAATTTCTTACTGGACATTTTTCATGTCTTTGACATTCATACTAAGATCCTTGAAAGTCTCATTAAGTCTCTTGAAATGTATTAAGATCCTTGAGCAACCTTATAACCATTGTTTTGAACCCTGTATCCAGTAGTCTGTTTACTTCCATTTCTTTCAGTTGTGACATGTTTCTTTGTCTTCGCATTTTAGCTGCTTCCCTGTGTTTAATTCTATGTATTGGATCGAGCTGTTAATTCTATGAAATTGGTTGAGTGGCCTTCTATATTAAGTGTCTTGTAGCCTCCCCAGTCACCTGAAATGGGCACTCTTGGTGCACCCCTGTGTGGGCTCTGTGTCTAGTCTTTATTGTAGTTGAGCCTTGATTGCTGTTGGCATCATTGGGAGAAATTGACCTCCAGGCCAATTGGCTGTGAGGACCAGCTGTGACTATAGCTGTGCAGGTGATACCTCTATGGAGCAGGACTTGCTTCATGAATTTGCATGTCTTCTTGTGAGGGGCCATACTAATCTTCTCTGCATTGTTTCAATTTTAGTATATGTGCTGCTAAAGTGAGCACAGGTGGTGGGATACTATAACATTCTACTGAGCAGTAAAAAAATGTGTGATTTCAAAAGTTTGTAAACCATTGCCTGGAACAACAGAATTAGTATCAAGCCTTTAGGATATCACTCCATGACTATGAATACAATTTTTTTTTTTTTGATGAGGAAATAAGTTATCTATGTATCTTTTAGGACTTATTTTATTTCTAAAACTAGAGGCCCGTTGCAAAAAGATTCATGCAATAGGCCTTCCTTCCCCTGGCTACCAGCTCTGGTTTTCCTCCTACACCTGGGACCTGGGCCACAGAGAGCCAAGCCTTCAGCCTTCAGGCTTGGCTCCAGCCGCAGCGGAACCTTCAGTCTTCAGTCTTTGCTCAGGTGAAGCCTTCAGTCTTTGCTGCACGCCTGTGCATGCAAATTAACTTGCCATCTTTGTTGGGTCAATTTGCATACTCATACTTAATTGGCTGCTCAGCATCATGGAGGTACTGTCAATTTGCATTTTTCTCTTTTATTAGTGTAGAGCATGAATCCTTCTCAATTTTGGAATTGAATGATTATATTTTAATATATGTATTTTAACTTTTATTCATTTTATTGGGGTGAAATTGGTTAATAAATTATACAGGTTTCAAGTGTACAATTCTATAATACATTATATTGCATCATGAGTTCATCACCCAAAGTCAAGTCTTCTTCTATTACCTTTTTTTTTTTAAATATATATTTTATTGATTTTTTTACAGAGAGGAAGGGAGAGAGATAGAGAGCTAGAAACATCGATGAGAGAGAAACATCGACCAGCTGCCTCTTGCACACCCCCTACAGGGGATGTGCCCACAACCAATGTACATGCCCTTGACCAGAATCGAACCTGGGACCCTTCAGTCCACAGACCGAGGCTCTACCACTGAGCCAAACCGGTTTCGGCTTTCTTCTATTACCTTTTATCTCCCTTTTACCTTCTCCTATCTTCCCTCACTCTTCTTCCAACTCTGGCAATCACTCTGGACTCTTAATTATTTTTAAATGCTAACTTTGTTCATTTTAAAGGGACTTTCAAATTGTCACTATTATGTCATCTATTAATTTTGTCTTAACATCTTTCAGAATTAATTGGCAGTAAGATCTCTGTAGCCATGGCTAGTTCTGAAATGAAACCCAAATCAATAAGTCGTGCCAAAAAATGGTCAGAAGAGATTGAAAATCTGTACAGATTTCAACAAGCAGGATATCGGGATGAAATTGAATATAAACAAGTAAAACAAGTTTCTGTGGTAAGTTTTATTCCTATATAAATCTGAGCTCAAAATGAGTTTGTTCAATGGTGCAGGTTTAAAATAAAACAGAACTAGAGGATAACTGAAAGGAAATTCTTCTCCAGCTCTCTCAAGCAATAGGACATACTTGAAAGAATAGTGGGGGAAGGTAAGAAAGACTGTTGAGGACTATATTCACAGTCCAATTTCTATTAAAAATTGAGTTTCAAGTAAACTTGAAATATAAATGTGAGAAAATACACCCAGCTCTTTAAATACATGAAGTCTAGCTGCTTCCTTTAGTCACTCGCACCATCAATAGTCAGCTCTAGGTGCTTTCAGAATGAGGTCTGGGCTTAGCCCTAATCCCTCCTGGGGTATTATTTTTAGAAATTAAAAAGTAATAATGTTTGGAATCATTTTTAAACATATAAATAAAGTTTAGAATATTTAAAATGTGTTTTTTTTCTATATGAGTAGAAAATTAAATTTAAATCTAAAAATTGGAATCTAGAGAGCACCAAATTAATTATTTTGCTGTAAAAATATATTAAGATGTGTTTTGGGATGTGTGTAATACTGTCTAAGAGGTCAAGTATTTTATTTATTTTTTGTATTTATTTTTAAATATTTTATTGATTTTGTACAGAGAGGACGGGAGAGAGATAGAGAGTTAGAAACATCGATGAGAGAGAGTCATCGATCAGCTGCCTCTTGCACACCCCCTACTAGGGATGTGCCCGCAACCAAGGTACATGCCCTTGACCGGAATCGAACCCGGGACCTTTCGGTCCCCAAGCTGACGCTCTATCCATTGAGCCAAACCGGTTTCGGCGAAGTCAAGTATTTTAAAACTTAATTCTATACTTTAACTTTTTATGTGTTATACTTTTAACTATTTGGTAGTAAAATATTATATAAAATAAACCCAGCATGACAATATTTGTATTCTGGTTTTTGATGTGTAGGTAGATCGTTGGCCAGAGACAGGATATGTGAAGAAACTTCAAAGAAGGGACAATACTTTCTATTACTACAACAAACAGAGGGAATGTGAGGACAAGGAAGTCCACAAAGTGAAAATTTATGCTTACTAAGCCTCTGTTGTTTGTGTTACTTATCATCTTTTAATATTTCATTTTTTCATTCTGCATCATGTAAATGTCCATTTACAAAAGAATTCAAGATGCAGACTTCAACTGAATGTTCTGAAACACAGAAGCCATGAAACTTGGTATCTGTTAATCATCCTATTCTGTTCTAAAATATAACTGCAGAAGCATTAAAATTGTACCTGTCTTGGTTCTGTTCTTTTGATTGTTTTAACTGTGGCAAAATAGCCATCATGCACAGGAAAAATAGCCCCATTAGAAACCATTCCCCTGGTTAGGCTTATTATGTATAGGTTACTGCTCTACCTCACATCCTTCAGCCTTTACCACTTTATAAGACCATCACTTTAAATGCCAGATCTGCATTTTGCAGGCTGAGGAATCCTTTCTCTTGCTTCAGGAATCCTTTACCTTTTGCTGAGTAGACCAAAAATGTCAAGAGATGATGGCCTCTGGGAGCAACCTTCAGCCAATGACTGGCGGGGAGGAGATGGATAAATGCCCAGCAACCTAACGCCTCGGCAGGAATCCATCTCAAGTGTTTGTTTTATACTGACACCCCATTTCCCAGCAGAAATAAGCTTCAGGCACCTGCAGCTGTATCTGAGTTGATCAAGTGGGATTTATTTTCAAGATGCAAGCTGGTTCAATATGTACAAGTCAGTTAACATGATATACACATAAACAAAAGAAGGGTAAAAATTATACCAATACATGCAGAAAAAGCATTTGAAAAAATCAATTTATGATAAAATACGCTCAGCAAAGTGGGGATAGAGAACGTACCTCAACATAAAAAAGGCCATATATGACAAACTCCCAGCTATCACCATACTCAATGATGAAAAGCTGAAAACTTTCTCTTTAAGATTAGGAACAGGACAATGATTTCTACAATACTTTCACCATTCTTATTTGACATAGTACTCAAAGTCCTAGCCATAGCAATCAGACTATATATGTATATGGTATCCAAATTTGAAAGAAAGAAGTGAAAATTGTCAGTTTTTGTAGATGACATGATACCACAGAGGGTGATACAAAAGTAGGAAGACATCAGGTTCAGACTGGTGACTCTATGAGCCCCTACCCATTTCCAGCAAAAATAAAAACATCTCATACACTCCCCAAATCTGGGAATTTCTTCTGGCTCCGCTTCATACATTTTGCTTTGAATTATCTCCCTCTCCCCTGGACTATTTTTTTTTTAAGAGAGAGAGAGGAAGAGAGAGAGGTTGGGGGCGGGGGAGGGAGAGAATCATCAATGTGAAAGAGAAATATCGATAGGTTGCCTCCCATATGCACCCTGACTGGGAATCGAACTCGAAACCCTTTTGGTGTACAGCGACAACACTCCAATCCGTGGAGACACTGACCAGGGCTCTCCTGGATTTGAACCCACATTCTTCATCTCTGCATTGATAACCTTTTTGGATTGTGAGTCTGATTCTAATTCAGAGCATCATTTCTCCCTTAAGATACTGCTTCTTAGATTGGCCCATGGCTCCATGCAGCCTAAGAGCTGAGACTGCCCCAAACTGTGAATGTTACCAGGTTCTCTGATACCATGGCTGAGCCCAGGCCTTACATTTCCAGGGGGAAGAAAAAAGACTAAACATTAAGTCCATGGCATGTAAGTTCATGCTCCTTAAGAAATGGGAAACACTGGTAGACCCTGTCATGCTAATTTTATGCTCAGCTATGGAGTTCCCACCTATTTGGTCAAACTTTATTCTGGTATGTCTGAGAGGGTGTTTGGGGATGAGATGAACATGTGACATGGTAGACTGAGTAAAGCAGGTTGCCCTCCCTAATGTGGGTGAGCCTTGTCCAATCACTTGAAGGCCTAACTAGAACAAAAAGGCTTCCCTCCTGTGAGGAAGGGGGAACTCCTGTCTGATTTCCTGAGCCACCTAGCCCGATCTTCAGGACCTGTAGATCTGGCTGGTGGTTCTTCAGGCTGGTTCCGGTACTGACTGCCTGAGCCAATTCCTCATAGGAAATTCCTTACCTCCGGTGGTTCTTTTTTTCTGGAGAACCCCAAATAATACAACCCTCCTGGACACCACAACCCAGTGAAGATAACAAAGTAAATTCATGATGAAATGAGTAACAGGACCCAGTAGCATGAAGAGAAAAAACATGAATTTTATACACTAGAGAAATTAGGGAAAGCTTTTTGGAAAGTTTGGGACATGGGCTGAATTTTGAACAGATCAGAACTAGTCGTAGGTGCAGAACTCCCTAGGACTTACCAAGTAAATCTTAAATTGGGTTGGGAGGTCTCTTGGAGGGCAGGGATAATAGCTCGTTCATGTTGGTCCCACTCTTCCTTCTTCGCTTAACTTGGCATTAATTCAGAGGCAGCCTTTCCTCGTTTTTTCCAACTCCTTCCCTTGACATGTTCTCACACTACTTATTTTATTTCAGCACATTCTGTTTTAAAAGTCTATTTTCTCATGTTCCCTGCCTCCCTATAGGGCTGAGTTCACAGACATAGAAGTCTACGGTGTTTATCTGTCATTGCATCTCTTAGCACCATAGTTCTAGTATGGGTGGGCAGGTAGATAAATAAATAATAGAAATAATAACAAACTAGTAATAACATTACCTATTATTAATGAGTAACAAAACATAATTCTACTAGAGGCCCAGTGCATGAATTCATGCATGGGTAGGGGCTGGCTGGCCGGCCCTGATCGGGGCCAATGTAGCTGGATCGAGCAGGGGGAGGAGCCATGGGTGGCTGGCCATCCCAGTCCCCTGGTTGAACTCTGGGTTGAGGGGATAATTTGCTCATTAGCCTTTTATTATATAGGAGGATTATTAAAACTTTGATAGGACCCTATGAAATAAATGTTTTACCAGAATGAGTTGGATACATTGGAACATAGAATCCAAGTGAATACCAAAATGGAAACATTGGATAAATATCTTTTCTTTTGTTTCTTTTCATTTGAAAGTGATACATACTTATTAAAGAACATTTAAGAAAATGCCCTGAGTAGAAAAATTAAAAATCACTTATGGTTCAATGCCCCAAACAAAATATATTACCATTTCGTTATATTTCTTTCTGATCAAAAGCCAGTTTGGCTCTGTGGATAGAGCACTACCCTGTGGACCAAAGGGTCCCTGATTGGATTCCGGTCAAGGGCACATACTTCGGTTGCAGGCCGCCCCTGGCCAGGGCCCTGGTCAGGGTTCATGCATGAGGCAACCAATTGATGTGTTCTCTCACATTGATGTTTCTCTCTGTCTTTCCTTTTCTCTTCCACTCTCCCTAAAAATCAATGGAAAAATATCCTTGGATGAGGCTTAACAAACAGACAAAAAAGGACTATAGCTAACATTTAAGACTCACAAACTCTCACAATAAACTCACAATGGGTTCAGCAACCTGCTCCAGGTCACAGAACTGTCTGAATGTTAAAGCCAAGCTATGGACCCAAACATCTTGGGCTCAAAGCCCTCATTATACCATTTATATTCCTTTTATTATTGCACTTACAAATCAAAGCGTGTATATTTATTAAGGTCTGCATTTCATAAAACCTCTAAGATAATAATATAAGGATCTTTTTTTACTCACTTCTGACATACATTATTTTTGTCTGGTATTTTATTTTTTATTTTTTTTAATAAATCTTTATTGTTCATATTATTACAAATGTTCCTCATTTTCCCCCCTCCATTGATCCCCTCCACCAGGTTCCCACCCCACCCTCTGCCCTTTCCCCACCCCCCATTGTCCTCATCCATAGATGCACAGTTTATGTTCAGTCTCTTCCTGCACCCCCCCACCCCCCTTTTCCCCGAGAATTGTCAGTTCACTCCCCTTCCATGCCTCTGATTCTATTATATTCACCAGTTAATATTGTTCATCAGATTTTTTTAATTCTCTTGGTTTTTAGATTCACTTGTTGATAGTTACGTATTTGTTGTTTATAATTTTTTTTATCTTTATTTTCTTCCTCTTCCTAAAAAAACCCCTTCAGCAATTCATATAATTCTGGTTTGGTGGTGATGAACTCCTTTAGCTTTTTTTTATTTGTGAAGCTCTTTATGTCTGGTATTTTAATTCCATATATATTTTAAGACCCATTAGATACTTCTATTTTATACAATCAATGTCCTTTACACTTGCTCAAATATTTACATGCTTTGTTTTTCATTCCTTCTTCCATCTCACATCTTCCATAAGCTATCATTTACTTTCTGCCCAAGTATTTTCTTAATGTTTTTATTTAGAGAGGGTCTTCTAGCAACAAACTTTGTTTTTACTTGTCTGAAAATGGCTTTAGTTTACCCTTTTCCTTAAAAGTTGTTTTGAGAATTCTAATTTGGCAATTTTCTTTTTAGCGCCTAAAGATATCATTATACTCTCTTCTACCTTTTTAATAATATATTTCTGTTTGTCTAATTGCTCTTCCTTCCAAGATAATAGTCCATCCTCACTTCCTATTGCCTGGCTGCTTTCAATATATATTCTTTGTCTTCATTTCTTTTTTGTTTTGCAGTTTTATTATAATGCCTCTGTATAAAGATTTCTTTCTTTTTAAATTATTCTTCTTGAAATTCACTGGGCATCTTTTACCTTTTGACTGGTATCATGCTTCAGTTCTGGAAAAAGCTAAGCCATTGTTAATCCTCACCAGAGGATATTTGATTTTGAGAGAGAGGAAGAGAGAAAGAGAGAGAGAGAGAGAGAGAGAGAGAGAGAGAGAGAGAGAGAGAGAGAGAGAGAGAGAGAGAGAACATGCCTCTTGACTGGGAATCAAACGTGTGACCCTTCAGTGCACAGGCCAGTGCTCTAACCACTGAGTAATACTGGTCAAAGTTAAGCCATTGCCTCTTGAAAATCGCCTCTCCTTGATTCCCTTTCTTCTCTCCTCTGGGACTCTAGTGGTTTTCTCTTGAGAAGAGTCAATATTATATTTGCATGAAGATACCTCCAGTGTTAAGAAATGACCTGGACCTTGATCATGAGCCCTCAGGAAACATCTATTAAATAAATTTGAACATTGGGTTACATTTTGATACAAGTCCAACTGGTTATGAGATGTGCCAGTCAAAAATAAACGGACATCAGAAAGACAGGTTTTATCTATTTTAATTGGAACGTGTGGGGTAACGTTAGCCTAATTTTATGGAAGATTTATAGATCAATAACAGCCCTCAGTTGTAAACACTGAAAATGTATGTATATATCACTCTTGATTGCCTATTTTCCTTGCTAGAAGTAGCCATCTTTTCTGTATTTTACACCGTTGTCTGAGAAGAAATCCTAATGAGTCATTCAGGTTGTTCTTCCAGATTCTGTCTGTGCGAAATCGCTGCCTCTGTTGAAGCAAGTCTTCCTGGAATTCCTGGCCCGCACACCACCCTGAGGGCTTTATAAGTTGAGGGATCTGCCTGGGCTCTGAGGACTGTTCTGAGATTCGCAGCCGAGGGCTGAGACATGCGAGGTTTTTGAGATTGGAGGAGTTCCTATGTGTAAAGAGGTAAAAGCTTTTACAAATGGCAGACGTTTTGCTAATTATTTTTCTTCTCTTTTCTGAGTATTTGCTGCTCACAAAATTGGAAATCTGGCAGAGTAGTGAAGTCTTTTTTTGGACTTCCTAATCTCTTCCTTAAGATTTTAGAGAAAATATAACTATTTAGGAAACCAAAATATTTCTATTTTAAAAACAAACATCCCCTTCCTATGCCAGTTTTCTGGTAGGCACTATTTTCTGCTTGATTCACCTGCAGGGCTGTTCAGTTGTTAGAGTTTAGAAATGTTGCACCTTTTCTCTCTCTATTAGCTGGAGGCTCAGTTGTGCTTGGAGTCCATCAGTTATGTTGCTTCTAATCCACTTCTTTTTTAAATAGGGGTTGAAACAGTAAACACAGTCAACAGATTTAAAAAGAAATCTGGTCATTCTTCTGTGGGTGCAAGAGGTACTGAATTTGCCATTGCCCCGCAAGCTGCCACCACCAGCAACTGGGCGACATCTCCTCACACCATGCAAAAGGAAAACAAAGCTGGGGCAGCCAGGTACGCACTGGGTGCAGCCGGGTCCTTGCCCCACCCCAGGTGCTCCGACACTCTGCCTCTGTGAGGCCACCTTGTTTTATTTTATTTTAAAATATATTTTATTGATTTTTTACAGAGGAGGAGCGAGGGATAGAGAGCTAGAAACGTCGATGAGAGAGAAACATCGACCAGCTGCCTCTTGCACACCCCCTACTGGGGATGTGCCTGCAACCAATGTACATGCCCTTGACGGAACCTGGGACCTTTCAGTCCACAGACCGACGCTCTACCACTGAGCCAAACCAGCTTCGGCGAGGCTACCTTGTTTTAGGCTGAAAATGCCACTACCCACTCAAAGTGGTAATTGGTAGTGATTTATTTTTTTAATATGATTTTTACACAGAGAGGAATTGAGAGGAACAGAGAGTTAGAAACGTCGATGAGAGAGAAACATCGACCAGCTGCCACTTGCACACCCCCCACTGGGGATGTGCCCCCTACTGCCCTTGACCGGAATCGAACCTGGGACCTTTCAGTCCGCAGGCCGACGCTCTATCCACTGAGCCAAACCGGTCCTGGCTGAATTGGTAATGATTTAAAGTGAACGTATACATCCACGACTTGGCTGAAGCGCCTGTGTGGATGAGGAGAGGTGAAGGTGAGGTGCACTTTTCACACCAAAGTGGAGAGGAAGTCCTTGTCCCTGGCTCTCTAATCCAAAGCTTCCCAAATATGCTCTCCATTCATGCCACTTAGTGGCCTTCTTGTATATTGCTGCTGAGAATATGGGGAAAGGGTGAAGTCAGGACACTGACCTCACAGCTGCCCATAAACATGTTTAGCTAAAACTATTCCCTAAATTGTGAAAAAGGCAATTTCTGAATTAACATTTTTATCATTTTAAATGTGCATATTAGATGTACTTGCTAAATGTTATATAGAAATACTTGACTATTATACCTATACTCTAAAAGTTTACATATTCAAGTTCTCAAGAACAAACCATAATACCTTTTTGTGGGGAGGAGTGGGGGCTTTCTTATTGGAAAAATTGACACTCACTTTATAGTTGAACATATTCTCCTTATAACTACTAATGCTTTCCATTAAAACATACCTAGTTCCATTTGGGTGAATTAATTGATATGTGTAATGTTAACTATATTTTTATTTCTTCCCAGGAATGAAAAAGCTGTGAGCTGCTTATACCAAAAGCCTAATGCAGTTTTTAGGCTGATTTGCTTTCCTTGGGCAGGAAGTGGCTCCCTTTATTTTGCCCAATGGGGCAAAAAGATGAATGACTTTTTGGAAGGTATGTTAATTTTCAACACCATCAGGGCAATTTATAAGGTCAGATGACCACACTTATAGGAATTTGAAGCACAGTAAAGATTTTCCATATTGAGAGATACATAATAGTAAGTTATTCAAGATTACATTTTAATAACAAATTTTATATTCCTAAAGTAAGAAATCCTGTTACCTTTATTTTGTTATTATTGGAGCTAGAAGTACTTTTTAGGAAATGGTATTCTAACCTTGCTCTTGTTTTGTTTTGTTTTTTGAATTTAGAAGCCATGGGGGAGCCAGGTGGAAACTGCCCTCTGATGGGGAAGTTCCCTGATTTCTGGGTCCCCTTTGCTTTTATTCAATTGAATACACATTTGCTCTTTAGGAATGCATACAGGTGTAGCCAAAGTGAATGAAGTTTGGTAAACAGTAAGAGGACCATCAGGTAAGGGGATAGCCTTGAGCCATCCGGCCAACAGCATGGCAATATTATGCTGATTTTCAGCCCTGATGAATATCGCATTAATATGCTAACTACTGTTGGTCTTAGCCTTCAGCATTTCCTCCTTTTTGTTTTCTTAATAAATTTCATAAGGTTTATGCCATCTGCAGGGCTTGGGTTCTTTTTGCACTTGTTTTTAATGTAATTGATACGGTAAAATGGAATCTACTATCTTACAATTGTTTTCAATTTGTTCTGAGTTATTCCATTTTCCCTGTTTTGTCCTTTTCTTTTGAATAGTCTGAATTTCTATCTAGAATAATTTTCCTTCAGACCGAAAGAAATATTTTTGTAGTGCATGTTGGCTGGCAACAAATTTTCTAAGGAGACTGCAGTTTTTTGTATTTTTGCCTTGACTTCTGAAAGCTATATAATCCTATGTAATAAAAGCCTAATAAGCTAAGTGTTCAGTCGTCCATTCAACCAATCGAAGTGTAATATGCAAATGACATCCTAAGGCTGCCCAATCGCTCCCTATGATGTACACTGACCAAAAGGAGCAGACAGTCAACTGGTCAGCCAGTCCCTATGATGTGCACTGACCACCATGGGGCAGATGCTCCAACCAGTAGATTAACTTGCTGCTGGGATCCAGCTGATCAGGACTGAGTGAGATGGGCCCAACACATCCTGGAACCCTCCCACAGTCCTTCCCTGGCTGTGAACCTTCCACGTCCCTCCCCAGCCTTAATCATGCACTGGTGGGGTCCCTCCACCTGGCCTGCACCCTCTTGCAATCCGGGACTCCTTGGGGGATGTTGGGAAGCCCATTTTGACCTGATCCTGCTCAATGCAGGAGCTGCCCCCTGATGGTCAGTGCACTCCTACAGGGGGAGTGCTGCTCAGCCACAGCCGGGCTCACGGCTGGTGAGCCCAGTGGTGGTGGCGAGAGCCTCTTCCACCTCCACAGCAGTGCTAAGGATGTCTGACTGCCAGCTTACAACATCCCCTAAGGGCTACCAACTGCAAGAGGGCACAGGTGGGGCTCAGGGACCCCCCCAACAAGTGCACAAATTTCATTCACTGGGCCTCTAGTCTGGCTATAAAATTCTAGGTTGGCATTTTTTCCTTTATCATTCTAAAAATGATATAATGTTGTTCTCTGACCTTTTCTATGCGGTCAGGAATACTTATTTTTATATGCAATGGTCTTTTCTGTAGTTTATTTTAAGACTGTGTCTTTAATTTTAAGAAAAAGGTTATGATGTGCTTTATGAGTTTTTTTTTTGTTTTGTTTTGTTTTGCAGGGGGGGGGGGGATCTGTGGATTTACAATTGTTATTAAATTTGGAAAATGTTCCAGGCATTGTATCTTTGAAAAGTATTTTCTATATCTCTCCTTTCTCAATTTGTTGGATTTTGATTAAATATATGTTATACTACTTGATTCTATCCAACAGTACACTGGAGTGCTTCATTTTTTTTTACCCAAACCCACAGATAATTTTATTAATCTGACAGATAGAGAAAGAGAGAGAGAGAAGCAGGGTATGGGGGGGAAGAGTAAGGAAAGACAGATAAGAGAGAAACATCAACTGGTTGCCTCCCAGACCCATCCCTAGCAGGGATTGAACCTGAAACCTAGGTATGTGCCCTGACCAAGAATCAAATCCTTAACTTTTTGGTGTATGAGATGATGTTCCAATCAACTGAGCCACCTAGACAGGGCGAACTCTGTTCATTTTTTAAGCCACTTTTCTCTGTGCTTCAGTTTGAATTATTGTTCTGACCTTTCTAAGATCTTTCTTGTTGGTGGGTTGTAAACTTTTTTTCTCACAGAATTGTGAAACTCAAACGCCATTCTTTTTTTCAATAATTTTCTGTTTATATTTTCTTAATCTCTTAATATGCCTAATTTAAGAATAAACCAAATGCTTTAAGGGAGAAAGCATTATACATGTCTCTCTGAGATCATGGTCTCTTAAATTCTAGCTGCTTCTAAAGCCACTGTATTTCAATTTTTTGTCTCTCTAGCTCAGTGGGAATGCAGAAAGCTCTGCTGGTATCTTGGTCTCTTAGAGGTAGCCCTCAGCCTGGAGAACAGAACTTGTGACCTGTGCCGAATAATTGACATATTTCAATAATGAAAAAGAGGCTAGAAGAATCTCAGTTCACTTTTCTAGCATTCTCTTCTCTCCAGAAAAGTCCTGATGGCATCAGCAGCTTACAGATGCTTTCAAACAGTGTGTGCATGCATGCATGTGAGTGTTTGTGTGTGTATGATTCTGTTTTCTATTTATTCAACCAGAGTGTTGGTCTAATATGAACTACTTCTGGATAACCAAAAGTGAAAAGATGGTTGTATAAAATAATATAACAAACCATAGTGTACCAATTACCTGCCTTTCAATATTACCTTCTTTTTAATCCTTACCTGATAATATGTTTATTGATTTTATTTTTAATTTTTTATTGAGGTATTATATGTGTACATATCATACCATGGCCCTCTCCACCCCACTCCCATACATGCCCTCACCCACCAGTGTTTTGCGTCCATTGGCTATGCTTATATGCATACATACAAGTCCTTCGGGTGATCTCTTATCTCCCCCACTTCTTCCTAACCTTCCCACTGTAATTTGACACTCTGTTTGATGCTTTACTGTCTCTGTATCTATCTTTTTGCTCATCAGTTTATAATGTTCTTTATTATCCACAAAAGAGTGATATCATGTGGTATTTTTCTTTCATTGACTGTCTTATTTCACTTAGCATAATGTTCTCCAGTTCCATCCAGGTTGCTGCAAATGGCAAGAATTCCTTCTTTTTTATGGCAGCATAGTATTCCATTGTGTAGATGTACCATAGTTTTCTGCTGACAGGCACCTAGGCTGTTTTCAAATATTAGCTATTGTAAATTGTACTGCTATGAACATAGGGGTGCATATATCCTTTCTGATTAGTGTTTCTAGTTTCTTGGGATATATTCCTAGAAGTGGGATTACTGGGTCATATGGGAGTTCCATTTTCAGTTTTTTGAGGAAACTCAATACTGTTCTCCACAGTGATTGTACCAGTCTGCATTCCCACCAGCAGTGCACAAGGGTTGCTTTTTCTCTGCTCCATTGCCAACACCTGACATTTTTGATTTGTTGATGATAGCCATTCTGGCCAGTGTGAGATGGTACTGCATTATCATTTTGATTTGCATCTCTCAGATAATTAGTGACTTTGAGCATGTTTTAATGTATGTCTTGGCCTTCCTTCTGTCTTCTTTAGAAAAGATTCTATTTAGGGCCTTTGCCCATTTTTCAATTGGATCATTTATCTTCCTTTTATTCAGTTGTATAAGCTGTCTGTAGATGTTGGAGATTAAACCTTTATCAGTGATAACATTTGCAAATGTGTTTTCCCATACAGTGGGCTTTCTTGTTTTTTGTTGATGGTTTCTTTTGCTGTAAAAAAGCTTTTTATTTTGATGTAGTCCCAATTGTTTATTTTCTCTTTAGCTTCCATTGCCCTAGGAGCAGTATCAGTGAAGAAGTTCTTTCGGCATGTTTGAGATTTTTCTGCTTGTGGACTCTTCTAGTATTTTTATGATTTCCCATCTTATGTTTAAGTCCTGTATCCATTTTGAGTTTATTTTTGTGTATGGTATAGTTGGTGATCTACTTTCATTTTTTTTTTTTTGCATATATCTGTCCAATTTTCCCAACATCATTTATTGAAGAGCATGTCTTGACTCCATTGTATGTTCATGCCTCCTTTGTCAAATATTAATTTAGCATAGTGGTTTGGGTCAATATCTGGATTCTCTATTCTATTCCATTGGTCTCTATGTCTGTTCTTGTGCCAGTACCAGGCTGTTTTGAGAACAATGGCTTTGTAATACAGCTTGAAATCTGATATTGAGATATCCACCTACTTTATTCTTCTTTCTCAGGACTGCTGTAGTTATTTGGGGTCTTTTTATTTATTTATTTTTTCCAAATGAATTTTTGGAGAGTTCTTTCTAGGTCTGTGAAATATGCCATTGGTATTTTAATGGGGAGTGCATTGAATCTATAAATTGCTTTGGGTAGTATGAACATTTTAATGATGTTGATTCTACCAATCCATGAACATGGTATGTTCTTCCATCTGTTTACATCTTCCTCTATCTGTTTTTTCAGTGTCGTGTAGTTTTCCGAGTATAGGTCTTTTACCTCCTTGGTTAAGTTTATTCTTAGGTATATTAATTTTTGGGGGTGATGGTAAATGAGATTGCTTTTTTAATCTTTCTGTAAGTTCATTATTGGTATATAGAAATGCCATAGATTTCTTGGCATTAATTTTGTATTCTGCTACATTGCTGAATTCAGTTATTAAGTCTGTTAGTTTTTTTTGGAGTCTTTCAGGTTTTTTATGTACATTATCATGTCATCTGCAAATAAGGACAGTTTTACTTCTTCTTTTCCAGTTTGGATGCCTTTTATTTATTCTTCTTGTCTAATTGCAATGGCTAGTACTTCCAGTACTATGTCAAACAGGAGTGGTGAGAATGGGCACCCTGTCTTGTTCCTGTTCTTAGGGGAAATTGTTTTAGTTTTTGCCCATTGAGTATGATGTTTGCTGTGGGTTTATCATATATAGCTTTTATTATGTTGAAGTATGATCCTTCTATTCCCACCTTGTTGAGAGTTTTTATCAAGAAAGGGTGTTAGATTTTGTCAAATGCTTTTTCTGCATCAATTGATATGACTATATGGTTTTTATCTCTCAGTTTATTTATGTGATATATTACATTTATTGATTTGCAAATATTGTACCATCCTTGCATTCCTGGGGTAAATCTTACTTGGTCATGCTGTATGATCTTCCTGATGTACTGCTAGAGTTGATTTGCTAGAATTTTGTTGAGGATTTTGGCATCTATGTTCATAAGGGATATTGGCCTATAGTTCTCTTTCATTGTGTTGTCTTTATCTGGTTTTGTTATTAGAGTGATCTGGCTTCATTGAAGGAGCTTGGAAGTTTTCCTTCCTCTTGAATTTTTTGGAATAGTCTGAGGAGGATAGGTTATAGTTCTTCCTTGTATGTTTGGTAAAACTCTCCTGTGAAGCCATCTGGCCCTGGGCTTTTGTTTGCTGGTAGCTTTTTGATGACTGCTTCAATTTCTTCCATATTTATTGGCCTATTGAGTTGTTTGAATTCTTCCTGATTGAGTTTTGGAAAGTTATATTTTTCTAGGAATATGTCCATTTTCTCCAGGTTATCCAGTTTGTTGGAATAGTTTTTTGTAGTATTTTTTAAATAATCCTTTGTATTTTTGTGGGTTCTGTTGTTATTTCACCTCTTTCATTTCTGATTTTGCTTATTTGTGTACTCTCTCTTTGCTTCTTGGTGAGCCTGGCTAGATTGATGAATCTTGTTTATCTTTTCAAAGAACAAGCTCTTGGTTTTGTTGATCTTCTGTATTGTTTCTTTGGTCTCTATGTCGTTTATCTTCGCTCTAATTTTTATTATTTCCTTCCTTCTGCTTACACTGGGCTTTTCTTGTTGCTCTCTTTTTAACTCTTTGTAGGGTTATGTAATTTATTACCATTGTTTCTTGTTTTTTTTCAGTAGGCTTGTAGAACTATGAACTTCCCCCTCAAGACTGCTTTTGCTGTTTCCCATAGATTTTGGATTGTTGTGTTTTCATTGTCATTTGTTTCCATGATTTTTTTTATTTCTTCCTTGATCTCTCTGGTAACCCAGTCATTGTTTAACAGCATGCTGTTTAGTCTCCAGGTGTTTGATTTCTTTGGATTGTTTTTATTGTAGTTGATTTCCAATTTTATGCCACTGTGATCTGAGAAGATGCTTGATGTAATTCCTATCTTCTTGAGTTTGAAGAAACTTTGTCTATACCCCAACATCTGGTCTATCTTTGAAAATAGACCATGTGCATTTGAGAAGAATGTATATTCTGTGGCTTTGGGGTGAAATGTTCTGAAGATGTCAATTAATTCCATCTGGTCTAGTGAGTCATTTAGGATTGATGTTTCTTTGCTGATTTTTTGTTTAGAGGACTTGTCCAATGGTGATAGTGGAGTATTAAAGTTTCCTACTATGATGGTATTGCTGTTAATCTGTCCCTTGATATCCTCCAGGAATTTTTTTTTTATGTATTTGGGTTCTCCTGTATTGGGTGCATTTAATATAAAAAAAAAAAAATATATATATATATATATATATATATATATATATATATATATATATATATATATAAAATTGATTTTTTACAGAGAGAAAGTTAAAGGGATAGAAAGTTAGAAACATCGATGAGAGAGAAACATTGATCAGCTGCCTCCTGCACACTTCCTACAGGGCCATTCGAGGCTCAGGTAACCAGGGCTGACAGAGGCTTGCACTGCCTCCAGGCAGCAGCAGAGGTGTGATGGGGCTTCACCTTCCCCTGATCTCCGGGTCGCCTCCCACCCCCGAAGGTTCCTGGACTGTGAGAGGAGGCAGGCCAGGCTGAGGGACCCCCCCTCCTGTGCATGAATTTTCATGCATCAGGCCACTAGTGTTAACTTAAACTCCTTTACAACATCACAGTATCTCACTCACTTTCTGCATGCATTCACTTGTGTTTTCCGAGCTCCAGTGCACTCCATAAGGCTTGCTGGGAGAGAAAGTCGAATTGAAGAGCCTTTTGCCAGTGACATCTACCAGGTAGTTGATGAAATTGTTTGTGTTCTGCTGCCAGTCCTCCAGGATAAGCCATTTGCATTTTTTGGCCACAGGTATTTAAAATCTGTTTTAAAAGCCATTTCCTCAATCCTGAATCCTTGGCAAAGGTTGTTCTTTGTGTCTTGTGAGATGCATACCTTTTGTATTGGTTACACTGCTTCATTGCTGCTTAAAGGAGTGAGTGATTAAATATAGCTATAGCTGTTCTCAGACAAGAAAGTTAGACTGGAAGAAATTGTGCAATAGGGACCATAAAGATATAAATGCCAAATGAATTGTGAAAATCCTGGGCTCCTGGCATCTTTTCATTGGAAAAGGAGAATGTTGAATAATTATGACGTCACAACTCTTACAATTGGCCATTCATATAGTAATTATATCTTTAGGCAAATAATAATAATAATAATGATGATAATAATAATAATAATGATAAATTAGGATTTGTAAAATCAAGATTATAGCAGTAACTTACATTGCACTTATTTTTAATTTTAACAATTATATAAATAGTATGTGCTAGATGTATAATTTTAAGGTTATAACATAAAACCTGCAGTTTTGACTGCCTCTTAGTCGGTTTGACCTGTGAGACATTCTTATGGTTTTTGAATTAGTTTCCTTCTCTGTAAAGCTAGAAAAATAATAATTTCTTCTTATGAGGATTAAATTAATAATGATCATAAATTATTTGGTATGTGATAAGGACTCACTAAATTTTAGCTACCATGCTATATAATATTTATAGAGATGGTCAGGCAAAAAATAAAAAGTGTCATCTTAGAAAGTATTTTAAAATTTTGATGTGGTTCCATAATATGTTATATGTATGGTCCTGCTTTGTATCTTTTCTGGACTTTCTTTCACTGACTATGGTTGTGAAGGTCACATTGTTTCATGACCTGTTTTATCATTTTATCAATCTCCCTTTGTGGACATAGTTATTTTTATCTTATGCTGTGAGCCAAAGAACATATATGCATGCTCCATGGACACAGACCAGTGTGTGGTGATGCGAAGGAAGGAGGGGAAGGGCGGGAGCTGGGAAGAGGTGGGTAAAGGCGGGGAAGGAGGACATCTATAATGGCATCAACAATAAATAAAAAAATTTTAAAATAAAAAGAAATGTCTAAAATTTTTTCAATGAACATTTTTGTAGAATAATTTGCTTATATCTCATAAGTTTCTTAATATAAATCTTCAGAATTTCAGTTAAATGATATGCCCATTGTTACAGCTCCTAATATACATTTCCAAATTACCTGCAATTTATGCTTCAGGGGCAATGAACATGGGAGTGAGTTTCCCTTTTCCTCCCCTAAGATATTTACCAAAGCTAGAGGGGCTTTAGAGCCCTGGAAGTCAACCCGAAACACTGTCACTGGCAGCATTGTTTACAAAACATATTTTCTTAATGTGAAGAGTAGCTCACAAATGTTTTGGTGCCAACACTGTTTTAATACCTTTAAAAAAAACATTGAGCAGGAGAGACAAAATGGCGGAAGACTAGATGGACGGGTTCTGAGCCTTGTCCCAAAGCAGCAGGAGAGAGCAGCTGGGGGTCGCGCTGGGAGTGTTTATTAGCAAGCTAAGAGACAGGCGGGCTCCCGGAGAAAGTGGGGGTCTGCTGATCAGGGAAGCACCCACGGTGGGGCTGGGTGCCCTCGCGGAGCTACCTATGGGTGTGGACAGGGAAATCTCGCCATCTTTAAAGGAAGAGTGGATCTTGTCAGAGGCCTGAATACTCACAGCTGCAGGGACTGCAGAGCGACTGTGAGCCCCAGAACGCTGATCCCAGGCAGCGCGAAAACTTGGACTCAAAGGAGCGCTCCACGGCACAAGGAAAAGGTCAGATTTCGCGGAGATAGGGTGAGTGCCCGCTGCGGAAGACAGAAGCCTCGGGTGCCTGGGGGCGGAAGCCGGAGGACTGGGGCCGTATTTACGAGGAGAAGCCCCCGGCTGTTGGGCTGGTGTCACCCATGAATGCGGTCGGGGCTCCTAAAGAGCAACACGTTTTGATCTGACTCAGAGGCATATCTGGAGAATTACAGGGGAGTGCAGTCGGCTTAGACTTGCCCCTGCCCCCCCTCCACAGATCAGTGTCACAGAGAGAGAGAAAAAAAGCTAGAGAGGCTTTGGAGCCCTGGAAGTCAACCAGAAACACTGTCACCCAGAAGCTAAATCACAAACGGACCCTAGTGTAACAAAAAATCAAAGCAAGACCTGCTTAAAAATCAGGACCGGATTACAACACTGAGGAGCAGTGAAACGCAGGGAACTGCAATACTGTCCGGACTGGGAAACAGATGTGCCAAACAGAATGATAGAGAAAGTGAATGACCTTCACTACTACAAATTTTATTTAATTTTTAATTTTTAATTTTTTAATTTTTGTTTTTTATTTTCATTATTTGCAACTTTTACTCAAGAAACTATTTTTTCTTTTTCCTCACTTGATTTTACCTTTTCAATTAATACATTTTTATTTGTAATCAGCATTATTACTATTGTACTATTTTACTTTTTTTATCTTATTTACTTTTGTTTATTTTTATTATTTTTTTAAGTGTCATATTATATGCTTTTTATTTTACTTCAGGATTAGTGTTCTACAGTCTATTTTTACCTTTCCTTCACCAACGCTTTATTCTATCTCAATCCTACCTTTATGCCATCACTCTCTTTCTAACCTTTCCTTCTGTGGTGTCCTGTTTACCTCCCCTGCTCTAGATTTTCCCTATTCTTTCTGTTTACCACCTCCTAAAATTTCACCCTACTTGTGTATATCTAATTTCCAACCCCCTGCTCCAAGCCCATATACACACCCCTTTCCGCTGTCCAAAAATAAATAAATAAATAAATAAATAAATAAATAAAAGCCTTTTTTTCTATTTCCTTGAAGTTGTATGTTGAATGTTAACTATATTGAAGTTTTATGCTTTTTTGTGAGATTGTTTTGCTTATTCTTTTTGTTTGATTGTATGCTTTTGTTAACTGTGTTTTAGTTATTATTTCTGCTTTCCCTTTCCTCGCTTGATATTAGTTGGTGTTGTAAACTGTATTAATCTACAGATACTTGTTGCTGGCATTCACTGTTGTTCTACTGGATAAAGGGTTGTTCTACTGGAGTTTCCTTCCCATATATAGAGTTAGTTCCTCATTTCTCTCTTAGTATTGTTCTAGTTTCTCTCTTTTTTTTTCTCTCCTCCCAATTTTATTTTGCCACTCCTTTTCTTTTTTTTTTTTTTTCTTTTCTTTTTTTCTCTTCTATCTCTCCTACCCCCTAATGTGCCTTTCTCTAATGGTCACCTTTATTGGAGGTTATTAATATCGCAAACACATTTCTGTTCATTGCCTTGTGTGTTGTACCTGGTTGTGCTGTATTTTGTGCCTTTAAATCAACGCAGGAGAGAGAGAACTACATTACCAGACATCCTGAAAAAAGATCAGGGGGAGACATATGAAACAAAAGCAGGTATCACCAGAAAAGGAAGTAAACAAGTTAGAGGCAAGCAACCTACCAGAGCAAGAATTCAGAGTAATGATCATAAGATGGCTAAAAAGAATGGAAGACAAATTTGACAATATGAGTAAGAACCAAAAGGAAATGAAGAAGAATCAAGAAGAAATGAAAAGTTACATCGCTACTGTAAAGAACTCAATAGAAAGCATCAAGAGTAGACTAGAAGAAGCAGAAGACTGCATCAGTGAGCTAGAAGACAAGATGGAAAAAAAATACCCAATTCGAGCAGCTTCTGGGGAAAAAAATTAAAAATCAGGAGGAGAGCCTAAGGGAACTTTGGGACAATACAATACAAAACAATATTAGAATAATAGGGGTTCCAAAAGGAAAGGAAACTGAGGAAGGCATAGAAAAGATATTTGAAGAAATAATGACAAAAAACTTTCCTGAGATAGAGAAGAAAAAACCCACACAAATAGAAGAAGCTTGCAGAGTCCCAAGCAAAATGAATCCCAAAAGACCAACGCCAAGGCATATTATAATTAAATTGGCAAACACCAATGACAAAGTAAGAATCTTAAAAGCAGCCAGAGAGAGACAGAAAGTTACATATAAAAGAACCCTCATCAGACTAGCAACTGATTTCTCAACAGAAACTCATCAGGCCAGAAGGGAATGGGATGAAATATACAAAGTCATGCAAAGGAAGCGTCTGAATCCAAGAATACTGTACCCAGCAAGGCTATCCATCAAAATTGAAGGTGAAATCAGGAGCTTCACAGACAAAAGAAAACTAAAGGAATTTATCACTACCAAACCAGCAATGTAAGAAATGCTATAGGGTCTACTGTAAAAATAAAGAAATAGGAAGCGAAGAAGGAACACAGGGGTATAGAATAAAAATGGCATCAAATAAGTACCTATCAATAATAACTTTAAATGTAAATGGATTAAATGCTCCAATAAAAGACATAGGGTAACAGATTGGATAAGAAAATAAGACCCATATATCTGCTGTCTACAAGAAACCCATTTCAGAAAAAAAGATGCACACAGACTGAGGATGAAGGGATGGAAAAAGGTTTTCCAGACGAATGGAAATGAAAAAAAAAAAAGCTGGGGTAAAAAAAAACATTGAGGACCTCAGAGAGCTTTTGCTTATGTATGATATTATGTCAATATTTACTATATTAGAAATTAAAACTAAGACATTTAAATATACATATGTTAAAATAATATTAATAAACCCGTTGCATGTAGTCCTAAGTATAGTTTTAAGTAAAAGACTGTATTTCCTCTCAAAATTAGTGAGGCAAGGCATTGTTTTACACTTCTGCAAATCTGTTTTTTGTCTGGCTGAATAGAAGGCAGCTGGATTCTCATTTCTGCTTCTTCATGCAAACTGTTGCAATATCCCAAGTCACATAGCCTCAGGGAAACTCAACTATGCACTCAGGAGAGACTGAGAGTAGGAATATGATATTTTGGCATTGTCATGAAAATAGCTTTCACCTTATAGACCACATGAAAAAGTCTCAGGAATTCCCAGGGGATCCCAGCCCTTACTTTGAGAACTGCTGATACATACTATCAAAGGCCTAGTGATAGAGAGCTGACGGGACAAAAGGAAACTGAAATAAATTTCAAGGCATTGTGGAAGTAAGTACTAAATTTTAGCCTGAACTATCTAGGATGTCTTAAAAACACTTTTGATGCTGATATAACTTGTTGAAAGTATACCCTCCATAAACGCTTTTATTATTTAAATAACTCATACTTTTCTTTGCATATGTCATGGTCATTGCTGTTTTATGATCCTGTCTTTATATGCTTTTAGTGGAATACCATGACTTTGTTGAACAGTTATCATGTTTTTCTTTCCCAAATTTAGTATGGGGGCCTACATTGCTTTTATGACTGCACTACATCTAAAAGAAAAACATAAGTTACAACCGATGCATTTATTTGTGTCAAGTGCAACTCCTCATGTAAGTAATTTTATTTTCCTTAGGGTAGTGGTGATAGGAGGGAAATGAGTGGGAAATCACGACGCTATTTCCCTACATGGTGAATTCTGGTCCAGTATGGGGAAGATGTTGAGACCCTACTGGCTCATGAAAACACCCTCAGATTTCTTCCAATATCATTTCCCCTTTTCTCTGAAACACACTTTAACCATTTCCTGGTCAGTCCCTGGCAAATCCAAGTCATCATTAATTTTTTTATATAAGTAATGTTTATTTATTTTATTTATTCATTTTTTAAATTTAACTTTGAATGTATTTTTTAATATATTTTATTGATTTTTTACAGAGAGGAGGAGAGAGAGATAGAGATCTAGAAACGTCAATGAGAGAGAAACATCAACCAGCTGCCTCTTGCACACCCCCTACTGGGGATGTGCCCGCAACCAATGTACATGCCCTTGACCGGAATCGAACCTGGAACCTTTCAGTCCGCAGACCGATGCTCTACCACTGAGCCAAACCGTTTTCGGCCCAAGTCATTATTGACCCAAAGTGCTTGTTCTTTCATTCTGGGTCAGGTGGGAACTTCCAGCTAAGAAACTGGATCAGAGCCAGGAAAGAATACTTGAAATCGCCAAAGGGGAAAGGGACCTCAACATTTCGTACCCCCCTGGCTCTTCAAATCAGTGCTGCTCACACTCCCGCCTGGCTCTTGCTTCCCCCTTGGAAGGAAGGCCCACACAGCAGCATTATGACACTGAGTCGTAGTGCAGGGGAACTTTCTTCTCCCTGCTTTTTTTTTAATAAAAGAGGTCTGGCCTTGGCCAGTTTGGCTCAGTGGATAGAGCGTTGGCCTGTGGACTGAAGGGTCCGGGGTTCAATTCCCAGTCAGGGCACAAGCCCAGGTTGCGGCCTCAATCCCCAGTAGGGGGCGTGCAGGAGGCAGCCAATAAGTGATTCTCTCTCATCATTGATGTTTCTATCTCTCCCTCTTCCTTTCTCTCTGAAATCAATAATATATATATATATATATATATATATATATATATATATTATTATTATTATTATTATTATTATTAAAAGAGGTCTGCCCCAAAACCTGTAGATAAAAAAGTCTACTTCTGACCCTGACTTGATGGCATGTCCCTGGAGAGGGAGCTTTCAGTTTATGAACAAGTGTGTTTTATGAAATATTAGACTTACGTTGTTCATGTTTCAAGTCAAAGGCCAGGTATCACTTTCCTGAAGGTGAAGAATTGTCAGAAGAGCACATTCACTCTTTCATTTTGAACTTGAGGGTCACTCCCACAGATTCCATTAATGACAAGGAAATTTCTCAAGAATATTTGCCCAGACTGGTGGCAGATGTACGCATTCTTCACAAGCTCATGTAAGTAACTGAGACAGGTGCTTTTTAAAAAATAAATAATTATCTGAAGAAAAATACGGGTTGGCAGTACTCTGAGATTGCTTATTCAGGAAGATAACATTCTAAGAGTTTGATTTTATTTCCTTTGGAGCCACTGTGATATTTTTACTGGCTTAGAATGGAATGTGGACACAGAAATGATATAAATGAAAGATAGAGCAAATCTTTGCTTTAAATACAATATGTGTGTATTTGTGTGTGGCTCAACACACATGTTTTATCACATAACACATATTTGTTGAACAAACTAACACAAGGCACCCTAGTCTGCTCCAAGGGCCAGAAGCAGAGCCCTACTTCCTGAGTTGTGTGGAGGTGAACCTGAGAGGAAGTAGTGGTTGGCTTTTTTGTGAATTCTGTTCCAGACCTCTTTTAACCCCAAGGCATCTGACCGTCGCCTTGGGATGTATTAATATGTATTGAGGCTGGATCTTCTGCGGGCCTGGAGACCTAACATTCTGTAAAGCTTCCCCAGTCATCTAAACCTGCCCCTGGCTCTAACTTCCCCATCGCAGTGAGCAGGGGCCAGCCTTTGGCCCTTAGTCGCCATTAGATTCTGTCACGCATTCCTCCAATTTTTCCCGGGCTTTGTCTCCTTCAGGTAGGTCCCTAGAAGGCAGATGCTTGGGCCTTTTTTTTATGTTACTTTTATTTCCTCCACAAAGGCTAGAACTAGGCATAGGGCCACCACAGCAATGTTTGTGATGAGAAGTTTATACAAATATCTACGAAAAGTGGAACGTAGTACTTGAAGCACCCTGAGAACAGACAATCCCACTCACCTATGACACGTCCCTCTGTGCACTGCATCTCCGATCTAGCACTAAGTCCGCCTGGTGACCGAAGTCTATTTCTCTTGCCATTTCTGTCCCAACCACCTTTGCCCAAGTGTGAGTCTCACAGGGATAAGCTGTCTGTGCCGCTGGCTGAGCACAGAGTCAGAATCAGAGAAACCAGTCTGACATCACGCCCTTCCCTGCCCCCAAATAGAAAAGTAATCCAAGTCACTGTGGACATTCAGTGAAATACTGTAGGCAAAAGCTGGTTTAATCATTAAGCCTCGCACAATGGTTAAATATGCTGTCTGTCCAGTCTGCCTCCCAAGATCAAAACCCTCTGCCCATGGCTTACCACCTGTGAGATTCCGAGCACGTTCCTTTAACAGTTTGAGTCCCACCTGTCAGAGGAAGGAGTAAAAACTCTCTCCAGGTGTTGCGGTGAGGACTAAATGAGGTCAGATTGCCAGCATAACTAACTACTACAGTTAAAAACACACACCAAAGGTTGCTGTGGCTTTAACATCTTAGCAGAGCCTCAGGGTGTCGGTGGTGGGCCGTGGTCAACCACAGCCTGCCAGAGGAAGTGAAATAGGGTTATTGCCACGGGCCCTGGAGGAGGCCCACGGCACGCCTGGAGGGCCCAGGGTGGTCAGGGCAGGTGTGGGCAGACAGTGTGGCCGGACGGGGACACACACCTTTATTATAGTGTCTGTGGTGAAGTGCTTTGGGGTTCCTGGGCCAAGGCCAGATTGGTCAATTCAAACGAAAAGAAAAGTGGGGTTTTGGTAAGCTTCCCAGGGGTGTTGTCTGAGGGATGCCTGAGGGGAAGGCTCGGGGAGGCAGGAGAGAAGCACAAAGGCTGTTGGGGGACTTACCCATACTTGTGACTCAGCAGCTGTCCTCTAGGCTAGTGTCACTCAGGACTGCTGCAGGCTGCTTAGCCAAGGCAGTAACATTAGCCACACTCTCAACAGCCCTCAGGAGAAACCTCCCAACGCCAAAGTGAAAGCAAAATCACTCACAGGGATATTGCACTCATATCATAGAGAAAACCTTCTCAGCACTCTTCTCCCCTCACCCCCACCCCCCCCCAACCCCCCGTAAATCTGAGTGTAATAGCTACTCACAACATATGCCCCCTCTCTCTCCAAACTCCAACAATTCTCTCCGAACCCTGCCTTCTGGGTTCTCCTCCACTCTTCACTCTCACTCCTTCAGTCTCTCCTTCTACCTTCTCAGTCTATTCTCTCTTCTGGTCTCTACAGCTCTCAGCTGTTTCCAATAAACAAACAAACAAACAAACAAACAAATAAATAAATAAATAAATAAATAAAATCAGGACTATAGCTCCCCTCTCTGTCTTCTCTGTTTCCATGACCACTGGGTTCAGAGCCTGGTGGCCAGAATGGAAATCTGTGGCAGGTGAGAGCTGTGACAGCTCCCCACTCACTCAAGCTCATCTCCTGCCTGAGCATTCATGCTTTTCTCCTGTCTCCTCCTAGAACCTGGTTGTGTACTCGTACACGCAAGGCTGTTGGGTTTTGTCCCTTGGCTCTGGAATAGTCTGCCTTTTAAAACTGTCTTTCTTTGCTTTTCAGTTTGGATAATTTCTGTTGACCATCTTCAGGTCCAGTGATTCTTTCCTCAGCTGTATCCAGTCCACTGATGGGCCTGTCAAAGGAATTTATTTGGGTTACAGTTTGTTCCTACAATCTGCACTTGACTTTCTTGTAGTTCTCACCTCTCTAACAAATTTCCCATTTGCCTACAAATGTATTCCACCTTTTTCACAAAACCCTTTGACATCTCACACACAGGTATTTTAAGTCCCTGTCAGATAGTTCCAACATCCGGGTCTTATTGAGTCTGATTCTTTTCGTTGCTTTGCCTCTTGACGATGGAGTTATTTCTTTGCTTTCTTATGTCTGATAATTTTTGTTTATTGAGAGCCAGCCATCATGCATAAACAGAGACTGCAGGACATATTTTTACACCTGGCTATAAGTACGGAGAGTTGAGTCCATCTAGACTGGAGATGACCTGCTTGGCCTTTGTTGTTACTATTGTTCCTCAGGCAATGCCAGCTTTCAAGTCCCCTAGTGTTACTGTGTGCTCAGCATGGCGACTGGGCTGCTGGAGAGTGTTCCTCAATGCACTGGTCTTTCCTGTGCCTCACAGGACAGTCTGTCCCCGCTGACAGACAGTTGTTACCTGACGTGTGGTGTCAGCCTCTGGGGTAAGATGGGGAGTTGTTGGACGTCCTAGAGTCTTCAGCTCCCACCTTAGGCAGGTCCCTGTGCTTGGGCCTTGTGATGGGACTTGCAGCATGCCTGCCCCTTCTCCCTGTGTCTGTGGTAGGTATAGACGTGGGCCCTCACCTGCAGGGGAGTTGGAGTGTCTGATGCCCTGCTTCCAACAGCTTGAGGCTTTTGCTTAGTAAGAAAGAAGGGCCTGGGTAAGGACTGGGATTTTGTGCCCATTTTATGGCTTATCTGCCCACCTGCCCCACCCAGGGGGCTCTTTCTGGCCTCCTGCCTTGTTCCCAGTCTTTCTTTTCTTTTTCTTTTTAAATATATTTTTATTGATTTCAGAGAGGAAGGGAGAGGGAGAGAGAAAGAGAAACATCAATGATGCGAATCATTGACTGGCCGCCTCCTGCACTGGGGATCGAGCCCCTAATCTTGGCATGTGCCCTGACCTATGAACCTCACCCTGAGCCACAGGGGCCTGGAGAGTGTCTGTTTTAAGCCCCGTGGTTGGCGGTCACTGTTACAGAAGCCCCAGCAACAGACAAGAAAAGATCAGCGGGAAGCCTAGTCAGGAGGGCCCTGTGTCTCACCGCCAAGGGCCCCTGCAGGCCTCTGAGGGGGGAATTCTTGGAGGCCCCTAGTGGGCCACAGACAATACACGCTGCGTGGGCGGCGACAGCAAAGGAGAGGCCACTGCCTCGTGGAGGCATCAGTCTGCTGGTGCCCGTGCTCCCCTCCTCCCCACGCCCATCTCACCAGACAACCAGCAGGAACTCCAGGCAGCACTGGGCCGCGGCCAGAGCCCAGGCCGAGCAAAGGGAGGGTTTGCTAAGAAAAGACCAGGACGCGGGTGACCTGTGGGTTTCCATCAGCCAGGAGAGCAGGTTGCTCAGCTACCGTGAATAATCGAGACGGGGCGCCCATTCCCAGGTACCTGGCACTCCTCCCCTCCGCCCCCGGCCAAGCACACACGCTTTTGGGGAGAGGAGGGGGATCTCCGGGAGGATGTGGCCCTGGGCCTGCCGGGCGGGGGCCGCGCCTGCAGAGAAAGCCCCGGTGGTGCTCCCGTCCGAGGGCAGCGCTCAGCACCGCGGACTGGGGCACCGTCTGGGGTGCGGGGCCCGGGTGTCCATGGCACTTAGAGCCCGTGTGGGGCAGTGCCAGCCCCTCGCTCACCCGCTCCTCGGGGGGAGGGGGGGGTGCCGAGGCCCCGCACGCCGCCTGCCAGCCCGGAGCCCGGGCCGCGCCGCAAGCACTCCCGGCGGCAGCGCTCCCGCCCCCGGCCCTGCCGCCCAGCGCCCGCCGGGACTGCCGGGACCCCAGTTCTCCTAGCGGGTCCCGCCCTCGGAGCTGTGACCCCCGATGTCTTCTGGCCGGTGCGCCCCGGCCGGTGCTGCCCCCCGCCGCCGCCTCCGGCTCCGGCTCCGGCTCGGGCTCCGGTTCCGGCTCTTCCCGCCGTGGCTCCGCGCGCGCGGGCTGGGTGCGCCTCCTGTGCGGCCGCGGAAGCTCTGCTTGGTCCGGATTTGCAGAGATTCAATCCGCCGCGGGCGGCGGGAACAGCCTTCCCGGTCATTCTTGAGGCCGTGGGAAAAGGCCTGCGAGCAGTGCGGATGCTCTCTGACAGCACCCCCCACCCCCAAACCCCTACCCTTCCTGCCTGAGCTCCAGCACTCTGTGACATTTTAGCGGATTTCATCTCCCTCGAATGGCCAGCAGACACCCCTTCCTCCAGTGCTTTGTGCACCTGAGCCCGTCTGCTCGCCTCACATCTCCTTAAAGGTGCCTGGCCCTTCTTTCTAGTTTGCCTTGCAGACCCAGCTCCCTGACGAGTTCAAGGAGTTATCATCTTGTAGTTTGTTGGGCTTTTTCTCATCATCAGGTTCAGAGAGGCACTTCCAGTTTTCTACTTTCTGGGCAAGAGTGCGGATATTTTTTATTTATTTATTTATTTATTTATTTATTTATTTATTTAGAGCTGATCCTAGACCCCGTGTCCCACATTATACCCAGATGTATGAAATCATTTTTTTCCACATCGCACTTGCTTTAAATCCTTTGGGTGGCTTCCTGTCTTTCTAAGGGTGACCAAAATCCTTTATAAGGCCTAGACTACCCAGTTCTTTTACCTTATTTTGTCCCCATCCCCCCTTTACTCTCTATAAGTCATGGTGCTCATACTCTTCCCTCTTCCCTGCTGCCTCTCTTGCCTTTGCCAAGTTTTGTCATATTAATTCAGATCTCAAATTGAACTCTTTTTCTTTTCTTTTCTTTTTTTTTTAAATATATTTTATTGATTTTGTACAGAGAGGAAGGGAGAGAGATAGAGAGTTAGAAACATCGATGAGAGAGTCATCGATCAGTTGCCTCTTGCACACCCCCTACTGGGGATATGCCCGCAACCAAGGTACATGCCCTTGACCGGAATCGAACCCGGGTCCCTTCAGTCCCCAAGCCGACGCTCTATCCATTGAGCTAAACCGGTCCCAGATTGAACTCTTTTTCCTTGAGGCCTTGCTTAATGCCACCCGCAACTGTCAAGTGTTCGCAGGCCTTCCTTGGCAGCACTTACACACTGCAGGGGCAAAGAGATCCTGTGTATCCACAGGTTCTTAGTGGCCAACACAGCAGATAGCACCACACTCGATAAGCTGTTGTGATCAAACTAAGAATGGGTGGAACCAATGCAGGGAAGCTGTTTTTGTCCTGCTGGTTGCAACTCTCTCTGGACCATGGAGAGCTGGTTGTCTCTGGGGAATGGCAGCAAAAGGGCCTGGGGGTAACCAGCCTCATCTGAGTTGGACTGGGGGCCCAGGTGCCAGCCAGCTGCCATCTGTACTGTTCTAGAAGTTAGATGATCTTAGAAAATGGCTGGGACCACAGTCTGACATGTGGAAATATGGCTGATAAAATTTTGTTTTGAATTGCTAGAAATAGAAAAAGAGAAAGAAATGAGGACACACCCTGTTACCTTCAAGAGACACTGGTAATACTTCAGGAAAGATCCTGAGAAAAGTTACTATTTTTTTTTCTTCTGTTTACAGCTTTAATGCACCATCTGAGGCCATTCTATCTTGTGACTTGACATGCTTTGTTGGATCTGAAGATATAGTAAAGCATATGGAAGGTGAAATAATTTTGAGTATTTTATTGACATATAGTTCAAACAGCAGTTACTGCAATGAGTAGAAAACGGGACCAAGTTTTATTTAATATAAGTGGAGAGATGTCAGTCATGTGTAAAATGAGAGTCTGCAGATACTACTACTGTATACTGATAGGTCTTAGAGAAATTAAAAATTCAGGACTTATAGAACATGAGACATTGAAACCAACTTGCCACTGGGGTCAGATCTTTGAAAGGTAATATCTGAAAGTATGTGTTTTGTTGTTTTTGGAGTCATGTATTACTAAATTTATAATTTTGTTTATTTCTAGCCTGGAAAGATGTCAGCAGTGGGAGTTTTCATATTCATGTGCGTCCAGGAAATCATTTTTATCTCATGGAAACTTCCAATGAGACCTTCATCATGAACTACATAACCAAGTGTCTAGAAATATCGATGCTTGCCTAACTAGACATTTTTCCGGTCTTAAAAAGTCAAAATGATTATATGATACTTAATTTTTTTTTTCAGAAGTAGTTGATTGTTTTAATTCAGAAATTGGAAAGTTATAGATTTATTACTGTCAGGGGATTTGTTATATACACACACCTGCATCTAAGGACAAAAGACAGATGGGTCAAGCATACTTCTGATTCTTTGTATTAGAATCTCATTTGAGTCTCATCTGTGGGAAGTTTGTCAACAAAATTCCTGCTTAGTAAATGATCCATTTTTACATTCAACTATTTTAACAGTAAAAATGTCAGATAGGGCACTTGCTTGAAATTAAATTATTGTTTCATCTGCACACGGGCTCAAAGCTTGATCTAATCTTTTGAATTATAGGCTCATTCCATTTAATAAGAAAATGTAGCCTACTGCATGGTTAAAACCAGACGGTCCTGAGCAATCATTGGCGGCTGCTCTGTTGGTGCTCAGAGTGCCTCTGCTGGCGGGTTCCTCCTACAGCACTTGTCCCACCCTGTGGCTCCGGGTGGCCCTGCTGCTGCCCTGGCAATGACTGACTGACCCAGGGCGAGTATGGAGTGGCCAACTACAAATGCCACGACCCATAGGCACCTCAGCCTCACTCTGTGACTATCTGATGTTGATGTGAAAAGAAAGCAGAACAGCTGGAAGCAAACAGGAGCTAAAAGGGGGAAAAGCAGGGATGGGAAAATGAGCTGGGTCAAAACAGTGCAGGCTACAGATGGGATCTGCAGATGCTCTGATGAGAAGAGGCCCCGTGTCTCTGAGCCGTGTGGATCCTGCAGGCTCCGGCAATTCCCAAACTATTGTATTTGTCCTTGGAATCCTGGCTATTCTCTCAGACATCCTTATTTCCTTATTTCCTGTGGATCTTCACTATAAACTCTTGTACTTGATTGATGTAACTGATGTCTTTCGCTTATGGCTAAAACTGCTTAGACCAGCATCATCATACATTAAAATGTTAACTTTTAAAGCTTTGGTATGTTTATGATCACATAATATGGGTTCATGTTTTTTAGCAATTTTAAAATCATATATAAAATCTTAATAAATAAATAAGATCAAAGGAAATTCACACAGGGGATATTTTTCAGAATTTACCAGTACTTTTTAAGAAAGTACAAATAATATAAAATGCGATATGGAGAAAGAGCTGTGAGGTGGAATTCACATAATAATAAATTTGGGCTAAAAATGGCCTCAAGCAAATGATGTTAAATGTTTAGTACAGGCTGTGCTGTGCTTTACTCTCTGGTATATGAATTCCAGGGTTCCCTTACAGATGAACAGGTACTAAAGTGATTTAGATTCTTGATTATTAGTTTAAATAATTTTTAGTTATTATAGTCTACAAATGGAAATCCCATAAGGGAGCCAATGCCAGGCTTTGGGGTGAGCTTCTCACCTGCCTCTCCTCCTGGGGAGGTGAGGTCCACATGGGAAGAGCTCTGAGAGCTTTCAAGGCCTCCATTGGAAGGACCAGACCTTCACTGCTGATGTATTCTCATTGTTGGGTTTGAATGTTGACTCATCGTGTAAGACTTCTATCTTTGGGCAAAACTTACTAGAAATGAGAATCATTGTTAAACCCACAAATTTTTCAAATTAGAAATCAAGCTAGATTTATTGTTAATTAAACTTTTTATTTTAAGACAATTGTATTATAGATTCATATGTGGTTGAAATAATATAGAAACAGTTTCTCCTCATATTAACATCCCACAAACATCTAGTGCAACATCACAACCAGGAAATGGTCATTTACATCATCAAGATACAGAGCATCCCTAGACCACAGGATTCCTCCCACTGCCCTTTAACAACACCTGTGCCCCGCCTCCCTGGCAATCCCTGTTTGGCCTTTCAGGTCTGTATCAAGAATATTACAGAAATGGGGCAGTATGTAACCTTTAGGGATTGGCTGGCTTTCCCCCCCCCCCCCCATTCCACATAATCCCCTAAAAATTGATCTATTGAATCTAGATTTTTTTTTTTGAAGTCATATGAAATCAATCTATTCCTCTGGTCATACCATACCAAACCTGAACTCTCATGCAGGCAATAAAGGTACACTGTTTCCGGTAGATTTGTAGCCTATGAAATCTCAAACATATTTTAGAACTATTAAAATGAGACTATCTTCATCCTAGCTGGGTGGCTACAGTTGGTTGGAGTCGTGTCCTGCAGACTAAAAGGTTGTGGGTTCCATTCCCAGTCAGCACACATACCTAGATTGTGGGTTCGATCCCTGATCAGAGTGTGTACGGGAGGCAACAAATCTATATTTCTCTCACATTGATATTTCTCTTTCTAAAAGTCAATAAACACATATCCTCAAATAAGCATTAAACAGAAGAAACTATCTTTTTTTCAGAGAATCTGTGTACCAGCAAGAAAAACTGAGTATTGGGCCAATATATTTCAGACTCTACACTTTCACGCTGATAAAACTCAACATAAGAGGTATATTACCACTAGATAGTATATTTCAGGACTAGAATCAGGCCCGTGCCAGTGTCGACCCCAAAGCTGCATGGTGCAACAAAGGAATAGCTTTGTTATTGGTTCTTTCAAAGCTGTTGATTACACCACAGTAGACAAACAGACAAGCCAAAAAAACAAACAGTTGTTCCCAGCCAACATGACTCAGTGGTTGAGTGTCAACCTGTGAACTAAAAGGTCATGGTTGGATTCCCAGTCAGAGCACACGCCCAGGTTGTGGGCTTGATCCCCAGTGAGGGGAGTATAGCAGGCAGCCAATCAGTGATTCTCATCATTAATATTTCTGTCTCTCTCTCCCATTCCCTTCCTCTCAAAAATCAATAAAAATATATTTATTTTTTAAAAAGAACAAACAATTGTTAATGTTTTTATGCACATACTACCAGAGCAATAATTTTTAAAAACAAGGTTTAGAATCATCTCTTTATATTGATTAGTTTTTGACAGGCGATGAATCAGAAACCTAAATAAATTATTTTTAAATGTAAAAGAAAAAAAAAACTACCTGGTTTTTAGCAAGTAAAATTTTCTTAACATTACAGTTTAATCATACCTCTAATTAAAGATTATAATTCATGTTACTAGCAAAAATTTTCAACAGATGTAATGAGTTAACAGTGCATTTCTCCCCTAAATGTTAGGTCATGATACCATTACGAAGGCTTCAAAAGAAAAGTTTTCTCATACGCTGAATTCTAAATTCCATATTTTTCTATCAGCTCTTTTGCTTTAGAAATATAGGCATTCATGGCATCTTCCTTCGATAATCCTAGAAAGATACAAACAGATCATCTCACTAACAGATGCATTAGGAAGTTAAGAAAGTTCACTGAATTTAAGAATTAACAACCTTTTTGGAGGTTCCATGCTTCCCACTTAGCCTTGCCCTTTAAATCTAGCATTCCTGGACACTCTGCCAAAAGAAGAATAGACATATTTTCAGGTTTACTTTTTACTCTTAGCTTCTGTAAACATTGATGGAAGTATATCACTATTTTAAAGATGACAATAAATACCAATATTGATGTCTCCAATTACAGATTGTTTATAGAGCCCATAAAGTTCTTTCAGTTCTTCATCTTCTGGCCTTGCTTTCAGCTTCTTCACGTCTTCCGCTGCCCTGTCAAAATCAGCCTAAAGCGAAGGAGAAGAGGCACACAGTGCATTACCTAATGCGGGCCCGTCTGCCTGGGGGCTTTCACCACCAAGCAGTGGGAACTCAGAGGAGCAGGAAAAGGAAGATGCAGATAGAAATACTACTATTGCTCTGGCTTGACCAGAATTATTATAACTAATTCATGGACCCATTCCAGGTACTTATGTGCTACATAGACAAGATATGGTGAAAAAAATATAATTCTGGACACTGAAAATGTTCAACTTATCAATGTTTAAGAATTGAAGATGACACAAGTAAATGGAAAAAAATATCCTGTGTTTTTGGATCGGAAGAATTAATATTGTTAAAATGTCCATACTACCCCAAGCAACCTACAGATTCAATACAATCCCTATCAAAAGCCCAGTATTATTTTTCACAGAAATAGAAACAACAATCCTAAAATTTATATAGAACCATAAAAACTCCAAATACCCAAAGCAATCTTGAGAAAGAAAATATCCAGAGGCATCATGCTTTCTGATTTTAAACTATAATACAAAACTGTATTAGAGCAGTAGGAAACTGGCATAAAAACAGGCACCTAGGTCAAAAGAATAAAGAGCCCAGAAAGAAACTCATGCATATATGGTCAATTTGATTTACAACAAATAAGCCAGTCTCTTCAACAAATGGTGTTGGGAAAACCACATGCAAATGAATGAAACTGGACCACTATCTAACACTGTACACAGAAATCAACTCAAAATGGATCAAAGACTTGAACGTAAAACTTGAAAATATATTTTATTGATTTTTTTTACAGAGAAGAAGGGAGAGGGATAGAGAGCTAGAAACATTGATGAAGAAAAACATCGATCAGCTGCCTCCTGCACACCCCCTACTGGGGATGTGCCCGCAACCAAGGTACATGCCCTTGACCAGAATCAAACCTGGGACCCCTCAGTCCACTGATAGACGCTCTATCCATTGAGCCAAACTGGTTTTGGCAAAATATTTATTTTTTTTAAAGGAGTGTTAACATCTACTAGTATTCCATGGAATTCTATGCAGAAGTAAAAAAGAAGGCTTTTTTACCCTTTGAGACAGCCTGGAGGGGGCTGGAGAGTATTATGCTAAATGAAATAAGCCAGTCAGAGAAAGATAAGTATCATATGATCCCAATCACATGTGGAATCTAAAGAACAAAGTAAACTGATGAACAAAATAGATCCAAAGACACAGAAGCATGGAACAGACTGTGGAATCTCAGAGGAAAGGCAGGAGTAGTGTGCGGGTGGGAAGAGATTAACCAAAGAACTTATATGCATATATACATAATGCATGGACACAGACAATAGTGTGGTGAAGGCCTGGGGTGAGGAGCAGAGCAGGCTAGAAAGAGGTCAATGGGGGGGGGGGGGGGGGGGAGGACATCTGTTATACTTTCAATAAAGATGAATAAGAAAAAACAACCACAATGAGATATCACTTCACACCTGTCACAATGGCTTTTGTCAAAAAGATCTATATATATAAAGAGCCAGGGGCGTAATGACAGAAGGCTCAATAGAACACCAGACTGCATGTGCAGCAGGAGAGTGGGCTGAACTGCTGACCTCTATGAGACAGAGAGGCAGGGCTGATCAGCACAACCAGCTGCTGGGAGGTCTGGAGAGAGAAGCCAAGCCTCTCTCTCTCCTAGAGGTCAGCAGTTCAGCTTGCTTGCCAGCAGCCTGAGGTGGCTGATGATCAGCTGCCTCTATGATCAGGCCAGAGATAGACCCAGAGATGCTGATTGGCATAGAGACTGACCAATCAAAACCAAATCTGGGTGAACTGCGAGGAGCTAATGGCTGCCTAGGAGGTGGGGCTTTTGATGCTAAATGGCATAAAACCAACGAATCAGAAGCAAATCTGGGTGAACTGGGAAGGCAGAACCTAAGGGGTTGAGGAGGGGTTTTAAGGGCAACAGCTGTTTGGTGTAAGGTATAAGAAAGCAGTTCAGTTTTTAATGACTGGTTTGGCAGTATACTGCATATGGCTGGCTATCAGTCCAGATATAGGGATTATGTGTTTTTGTCTGCCAAGACCTCTCCTCCTGCTGAAAAAGGCTCCCTTCCTATCCTATATAATGTATCTATATTATTTGTACCCGTATAATGGACTAGGTAGTTTCTGAGGGCAGTATTTCTGCTTTCACTGTCTTTTTGCAGTTCTGATTGGGTGTGTTTTGCTTCCTTATATTCCAAATCACTGATTTGATTATTGGCTTCAACTTCATTGTTGATTCCCTGTAAATTATTCTTCATTTCAGTTAGTGTAGCCTTAATTTCTTACTGGTCATTTTTTATGCTGTTGAAGTTCTCACTAACTTCATTGAGCATCCTTATAAGCAGTGTTTTGAACTCTGCATCTAGTAGATTAGTTGTTACCATTTTGTTTGGTTCTTTGTCTGGAGTTTTGGACTGTTCTTTCATTTGGGACATGTTTCTTTATCTCCTCATTTTGGCAGCCCCCCTGTGTTTGTTTCTACACAGTAGGTAGAGCTGCTATGTCTTCCAGGATTGGTAGAGTGTCCTAATATAGAAGGTGTTCTAGGTTTTCTATAGGTTCCAGTGACACAACCTCTCTGATCACCAAGTTGCGCATTCGAGGTTCCCCCTCCCTTCCTGATGTGGTCTATTATAGTTGAGACTTGATTACTGTTGGCATGTCAATGGGTGGATTTACCCCCATGCCAATCAACTGTAAGGACTGACTGCAACCATCAACCACTGAGCTCTGACCACCAACCTCCAATCCCTGTTGAAGATCAACTGTGCAGGATCCCACTCGACAGAGCTGGACTTACTTCAATGGGGCTCTGGTGCCCGTCAAGTGTGTTTCTTGTGGAGGTGTTTGGGTGGTGATGCTTTGACATGGTCTAAAGCTGTTACTGGGTGCACTGACCTTGGGGCCTCCCAGGAGGTGCAGACCAAGATCATCTGCCACCTGTATTCTGCTCTGGACCACTTGGCATGAACTACAAAGTGATCTGCAGGTGGCTGCTACTTGTGCTGGGCTTGGGGCCACTTAATGAGAGGTATTGGGCACACTGATGCTAAATGCTTCTTGTTTTATAGATTTTTTCCCCCCAGAAAAATCTGAAGCATGAGTTGCAACAAGCCATTCATATGAAAAAGCCACTGGAAAAACAGCCTGGGTAGTCCTGAAAGTTGGGTGGAGCAGGGCCTCAGGAAATCATCAGGGCAAACTGTATGAGCCAGGTTGATGGAGTCTTAGATATGGTTCACACCTGCAGGCTCATCAAAGGAACAATGGGCTCTACTAGTACTTCTGTCTGGAAAGAAGATGTCCTTCCAGTTCTCGCTGTGATGCTAGACAATTCAGTTCATTCCCATATGTCCCTTTTGAGCTGCTGCCCCAGTGCTGAAGCTCAGAGGGAGTAGGAGTAAGTCTCTGTGAGGGCTTTTTAAGAGAATTGCCTGGGATTCCAGCATCCCTCTGTTTCCCTCAGTTTCAATCTCCCTGGTTTTTGCAGTCAGAAGTTATAAGGACTTCTCTTCCTTGGCACTGAAACTCTGAGCTGGGAGCGTGGAGTGGGATTGGGCCCCTTGCTCCTCAAGGGTACCTCAGCACAGGGATATCCCTCCCAATTTTTATCTACCATAGGGTAGTGTGGGACCAGCTCTCACATCTTTGCCCCTCCTACCAGTCTCTATGTGCTTCTTCTTTAATTCCCTAGTTGTAGGACTTCCATTCAGCCAGATTTCAGGCAGTTCTGAATAATGATTGTTGTGTACTTTAAATTCTGATGTAGCTGTGGAGGGAGGCAAGTGTTTACCTAAGCCACCATCTTTTTTTTTTTTTTTTTTTTAGTTGATTTTAGAGAGGCTAGGAGAGGGAGAGAAAGGAACATTAATGATGAGAGAGAATCATTGACTGGCTGCCTCCTGCATGCCCCCTACTGGGGATCAAGCACACAACCCAGTCCTGTGCCCCGAATGGGAATGGAACCATGACCTCTTGGTTCATAGCTCAATGCTCAACCACTGAGCCACACCGGCTGGGCTAAGTTCCCATTCTACTTTTTTAAATAGACTATATTTTACCTAATGTTATTTATTTTAAACGTGGGATAAATAGTAATTGTTGAGTATCAAACAAGACAGTCTCAGTGAGGCATTCTACCCCCATCCTGCATTTTCTTTTTCCAAACCCAGAGCTCCCTTTTGATACAAAGAACCAAATGCCTGGTAGAGAAAGAAGATAGCCCCACTGTAATTTCAGAACTCCAGTGATCTCAGCAGAGCTGCTAGATAAAATTTCTATCCAGCACCAAAGACAGGACATTAGCACAACTGGACAGTTGTTTTGTAATGAACAAAAATCCCTTACAAATGGGAGACCAGAGTCTCCAACCTAAATAACCTTGAAAATGATCCCATTTATCCCAGGAATCTGAGAACCATGGGTGCATGTGACAAACCCCTGCCTCATCTTCCTGAATGCTTTTAAGAAATTGTCAGCTCCATTATACATAACATCATGGTTAAGAACACAGACTCGAACTGGACTTGAGTGGTTTGAATCTAAGCTTCACCACTTCAGAGCTGTGTGACCTTGGGCAAGTTATTTAACCCCTCTGTTTCTTCATCTGGAATATGGGCCAATAACACCCCCTATCTACAAAGTTGTTAGGCAGATTTAAATAAGTTAGCACATGTAAAATATTTAAAATAGTACCTGGCACATAGTGAGTGGTAAGTAAATTTTAACTACTATTATTTTTATTACAAGACGCTTTGAGGAAAAATAAACTAGTCCTAGAAAAAAAAAAACTGAAAAAAAAGTATTCACAATGAAGCAAGACATGAAAAATACTTTTTAAAAATAATTTAACAAAGAATACAAAACCGTTTTTCCTACACTCACTCTGTAAGTAATATGGGGGGGAAATAAAGACTAGAAAGAAATATAATAAAACATGTAAAAATCACCTTTGATTATTGGTAAGTTCTCTGTGTGTATGTGGTTTTTTAATACTTTCTATACCTTCCAAATCTTCTATAATGTGCATGCATTGTGTCTATAATTGGGACAAAATAAAAACGCTACATTAATGGCGGGGCTCCCGAAGGGCAAGGCAGGGCAGGGCTATTCAGAGAGGCCTGGGCTCTTCCCCGCCCGGCTTACCCAGGAGTCTCCGTGTCCTGTTGTGGAGTTTCATGCCCTTTTCCAGTAACCGCAGCTCAGCTGCTTTTGGCAAGCCAAGCCTTGATTAGAATTCTAAGGCTCGGCACCTGCCTTCTAGGAAGAAGTTTCCGGAAAATTGTTCTTCATATTCTGGACAGGCTAATGAACATCTCAGACCCTCTCCGCAGAGGAGGTGAGCCCCTGACGCAGTCTCCCAGGCAGTGTCAGGGGTCCTCGCCCCTCCTTCCTCCCCAGGCAGAGAAACCCATTCCAGGGCAGGGCCCAGGATCGTTCTCTTTCCAGCACGCCCTTCCCTGGCACCCTGACTCGGTACCATCCTGCTCTACGGTGCGGCTCCCATGTGCCCTCTCTCTGAGGACCTTCCCGTCCAGCCGTGTTGAGCCCTAGTGCAAGGAGCACTGCGAGAGACACGCTGCCATGGGATTCGGCACGCGCACCGAGGCTCCTCTGAGACTCAGCTTTTGCTGGGAAAAATAAAAAGATCCTATCAATCTCAAGCAGGGAGGTGTTAGGATTAAATACAATTAAGAATGTAAATGTTTTTTATTTTATTCTATTGATTCTGCCTGCCAGGGCTCCTCACATGTAACATACTATTTAACACAGATATTGGCGAGGCAGCCAGGGATGAACAGGGCAGCCAGCTCTCAAGGAGCTCAGGGACTCCTGGGAGATGAGCAGGTAATAATGAACTATACCTATAAAGAGGTAATATGCTAATTTGTCCATTAAGGTGTCTCAGGCTCAACCAGTCTGTGGGTGGGGACGGGGACGGGGACTGTCCCCCCCAGCGCTAATGTCAGGCTGCCTGTGTGTGTCCTCGCCCAGTGCTGAGGTGAAGCTGCCTGCCTGCATCCCTGGCGAGGGATGTGACACTGCCTGAGTGAGTCCCCGTTCAGCGATGCCTGACCCTGGGCTGGGTGGGGTGGGGGGGAAGGGGATGAGGAGGAGAGGCAGGCAGGGGGCCCCCCACCCAGCGGGGCTTCATGGGAGACCTCAGGCCACACACACACACCCCACAAGGCTTGACAGGGGACCTCAGGCCGCGCCCCCGCCCTGGCTTCAGGCCAGGAGACCACATGTGTCCCCTGCCCGGAGGGGCTTGTAGGGGTGGAGCTGCCAGGTCTGGGTCTCACCCAGTCGGGGTGGGGCCAGCCGGGTCTGGGTCTCCTGCATTTTCTTAGTGTGTGCGGGTGATGGGAGGGGGTCTTGACTCTAGGTCCTGCGGTCCCAGACTCTGACAGGAGGGAGATTTTATATAGATTTTTACTAATTTCCTTTCATCTCTGACACTTCTGTTATAGAGAAAGGGCAAACAGCAATGTTAAAATATTTCTTCTAATTAATAGAAGAAAAGTGCACGAATTTCGTGCGCTAGGCCATTAGTCATGTGATATTTGGGTGCTCTGGGAACAAATAGGAGGGAACAGCAGTAGGGATAGGAGAATCCTTCCCAGAGGAGATAGAGCTGAACTGAGCTGGAGGTCAGCGCTTGTGGGATGGTCTGGAACAGGGAGGGGTTCCAGGCAGCATGGACAGCAATTATTAGGGCTCAACATGAAAGCTGGGTGGGACTGTAATGCTTGTTCCCTCATAGATCCACAATAGAGGGCAGACTAAATATTCATCTTGGTAGCAAGAGCCGGGCCTTACAGAGTGTTGGCAAGTGGTACAGCCTGTGTGCTACTCATTGAGTAAATGACTATGTGAGTGGCTATGAGATGGGCGGGCATGGTGTAGGTGCGGAGGTCTCACACCAGGGCCTCCCTCACGTCCTCCTCTCTCAGGGGCACCACCGTCAGCCTGGCCTCCTGGGCCAGGTACCAGGACTCTTCCAGGGCCCCGATGAGGAGGAGGCGCCCCCGGGGCCTCAGCAGCGTGGTGATGTGGCCCAGGGTCCGCTGGAAGCTGGCAAGGTCAGGGCTCACTGCCTCCAGGCACATACATGTGCACATACGTATTTCTGGTATACATGTGTAAGTAGCTGTTAACAGCAATGATCACTTCAGTGAGGTTTCTTAAATTTACTTTATATCTGTTCTTTTTCCATCCTGAACATATATGTTTCACATATCGGAGAAACAGTATTGTTAAATTGAAATTTTACAGATATTTGCCCTTGCCCAAGAGAACCCTTGTTTGTACTAAAAGCAAAGGGGCTCGAGCGAGACCCCAAATGTCCTCGCCTCCACGTCCAGGAAGGAGGCAGGACAGGGCCACGCAGTTCCTCCCTCCCCGATACTCCTGCCCCCATCCCCCGCATCCACCCTCCCTGGGGCTGGTGCCTACCTTGCGTTTAACCAGTCCCTGGGGGTCACAGGAGTTGCCATAGGGAGCCCCAGCTCGTCATTGAAAGAACCCGAGGGCGCCGGTGTGGTCTCCACTGCAGTAAGCGGGCGCAGGCGAAGGGGTGGGAGTGTCCTCGGGATCAGCCGGCAGCAGCGGCCCAAAGCTCAGGGTCCGAGATGCACCCCACCCCCTTGAGCACTACCCTCTGTGGAGCTGTCCCCCCGCGCGGCCTGCCCACCCCCTGGCTCACCTGCAGGGACATGGTGGTGCACTCACAGCTGCTGCACCCGGAGGCCGGTTCCAGGAGCCCAGTGCCTCGGATGTTTAAAGGGCAGCGCGGCCAAACCGGTTGGGCTCAGCGGTAGAGCGTCGGTCTGCGGACTGAAAGGTCCCAGGTTCGATTCCGGCCAAGGGCATGTACGTTGGTTGCGGGCACAAAAGGCAGCTGGTCGATGTTTCTCTCTCATCGACGTTTCTAGCTCTCTCTCTCCCTTCCTCTCTGTAAAAAAATCCCATTTAAAGGGCAGCGCGGCCCCGCCCCCGGCTCCCATTGGCCGCAGGTGGGGGGGGGGGGGGGGAAGGCGCCCGCTGTCCTCCTGCCTCCCGGCCCCGCTGGTCTCTGGAGGATGGGCAGCTGCGAGTGCGGCTGCACCTGGAAAAGCGAAAGGAGGGGATTTAAATGCGTTCTTCTCCACTCTGGGCGCGCTGCCCGGTTCTTCCTCACGAGGCTGTTGGCCTCGCGAGCCTGCTGGCAGGAAACCCAGCGAGGTCTCCCTGGCACGGACCTCACTTATCTCCGTCCTCCCCATGATGCCCGGAAGCCTGGACGGTGGACAGCGTTTGCTCAGACCTTTCACGTCTCCCCAGCCGCCTCTTAGACACACTTCATCAGGAGTGGAAAAGGCTGGTAGTTTGGGTCTTTTCTTTGAAAAGCAAAAACACATTCTGAGCACTGCTGCAACCACGCTAACAACTTTCACGGGCACAAGATTGCAGCCTGACCGTATTTTTGGGGGGTGGGGTGGGGTCATTGTCACACTGACTGCAGACACATAGAATTGGATTGTGATCCACATTGATTAAATTTTCAAAGAACGGGGACCGCATTTCTCTGTCATTTGAGGAGCTGATTGACAGCCCTTCCTTTAAACAGGAGCACTGTGCAGCAAGGCGACAGGAAGAATCCACAAAAGCAGGTCAAGGAAGTTACTGATCTGAAACATCTAAGGATACAGCGAAGTCTGACAATGCAGGGGACAGAGAAGAAAAGCCTCAACAGATTTTAGCTTGTTTTTACACAAAATGACATTTAAAAAATATTTGCTACCATTTCATGTAAATCCCTTGGTTTGTGATTTTCTCCTTGAAAATGTTTCCACAGTGATATCGGTTGAATTTCCAAGTAAAGAACAAAAAGCAAATGTCAGAAAAACTTAGTGGACACGATTTCTGTATTTTTATTTTCTAAATTCCTGGGTGATGGGCAATACACGCTTGATTCAAAGGCAAGCTGCCTCGGTGGGGAGAGCCCGCCGGCGCATCAGCAGGGAGATCCTGCAGTGAGGGCCGACGTCTGTGACTGTGCAAAGGAGGCATTGGGGCTTTATAGCCATTTTAAGAAACCAGGAGAAATGGAGAGAGAAAAGGTACTTCTGCTCTGTTTTATTCTCTAATCTAGAATGTTCTTTTAAGACTATTTTCAAAGCACATTCTTCTCTTGAATTGCCATTCCTGGACAGAATGCCAGAGCCATGGGTGTCTTGTCTCCAGGAACACAAAGGAAGGAAGAAAATAGAAATATTGATGCCCTCTGTCCAGTGCTAATAGTATAGTAGGGACAGTAGAAACAGCTTTCTGGAACCCTTAGGGGTGAGTCAATTTGGACAGAAAATAAATTATTTTTTTCTTTACTATTTTATTAAATATTAATTATAAATCAACATATACATCCTATATAGTAAAATCACAATATGCTAAGTGTCTGGTCATCTTATTCAACCAAAGAGTAACATACTAATGATATGCTAAGGCAGCTCAACTGCTGGTGATGATAAGCACTGACCACCAGGGGGCAGATGCTCTGACTGGTATGTTAGCTTGCTGCTGGGGTCTGGCCAATCCAGACTGAGCGAGATGGGCCAGACATTCCCTGGAGCCTCCCCACTACCCACCCCCATTGTCCCTCCCCAGCTGGCCAACCTCCCACATTCCTTCCTGGCACCAAACGTGCACCGGTGGGGTCCCTCAGCCTGGCCGGTGCCCTCTCGCAATCCGGACTCCTTGGGAGGGGGGGAGGGGGGGGTCAGAGAGCCAGTTTCAGCCCAATCCTACAGGCCAGGCCTAGGGACCCCTCTGGTACATGAATTCATGTTGCTGCTGCTCTGAATAGGTTGGACTGTGAGGATAGTCAGAAAACATTACATAATTATAAAGACCTGAAAATTTTAGAGGGGAGACCCAACTTGCTTTGGATACTGGCCCAAAGCTAGACAGTGTTTCCAGAGCAGGTTAGAGAGGTTTAGTGTCAAGGCCAGAAAAGAGTCATTTCAGTAAAACTTATGTAGTTCCAACAACAAGTACAAAGCAGGGCAGGTTTCCAGCACACAGGCAAGACAAGCATGGCTGGATATAGCAGCTGAATATTGTGAAACACCTGAGCGAATTCCTAAAGAGATTATTCTTTCTATCTCATCTACTCTTTGACCAAGATAGAACCATTTTATTTATTTGTTTTTCAATTACAGTTAGGACAATTTTTGGTCCTTTTAAAAATTTATTTTTTTAACCTTTAGTTTCTTTTTTTATAAGGTATTATATGTATATAAATCTTATCATTGCCCCTCCCCCACACACTCCACTCCCATACATGCCCTCACCCCCCAGTGTTTTGCATCCATTGGTTATGCTTATATGCATGTATACAAGTCCTTCAGTTGATCTCTTATCTCCCCCACCTCTCCCTAACCTTCCTGCTGTAATTTGATAGTTTGATGCTTTACTGCCTATCTCTTTTGTTCATCATTTTATAATGTTCTTTAGAGCCTTTAGTTTCAATAATAATGTGTAACCAGGACTGAATTAAAGTACATAGGGCTTATAATTTTGTCTCCATTCTGCTCTTTTGATTATAATATTGCATGTGTCTTACCTATTAACATCCAGTTAATGTATTCTGCAACTGAGCTCCAGAAAACAGTTATGTCTTCCTCCTGGGGAAGCCACTGCTCCCCACCTGGAATCCATCTCCTCCTATTTTGTTAACAACCCTACTTCTGCTTAGATATGGAGCCAAAAGATGCTCAGGGAATGTGGGTCCATCTTCAGGAGAAAAATCATAGTTGGCCTAAGTCATTCTTGCTTGACTCATTCACCTCTGCAGTGACTGGTTTAGGCATGGGCTGTCCAATAAGCCACGAAGGGAAGTATATTTAGACTTCTTTGGTTCTTTTTTTCTGGTAAAAAGAAAGAAATTCATGAGGCAAAGCTTACTGCTTATACAAGGTGATTGTGTAGGATGTGCTGATTGAGGGTAAATGCCAACATTCTGAGGATGGCAAATGGAAATATAGAAAGCCCTTGGGATTTTGATGAACTGCTGCGAAGCCAAATGAGCCAGCTCTGGAAAACCTCCAGACTTCTGTGACAGATAATAACCCCTATTGAATAACCACTTTCAGTAGGATGCTTTGAAAGCATCGTCATCCCTCCAGCTGGATGGAAATACATGCACCCTTAGACTATATTTTACACAGGTGGCACATGTGGGTGTGAAGAAACACAGTCTATGCAACGAAGTGTTCCCCACTTTCCTTTTTGGCAAGTAGGGTCTTTACTGTGTTCCAGCCCAAGGCTTCCTGTCAAGTGAGGGGCTGACAAAGTCTGGGACCACAGACAAGTACTGTCAGTGTATATGGTAAAATACACATAATATAAAGTTTATATAATGGTTTATTATTTTAACCATTATTAAATGTGCAACCCAGGGGAATTAAATACATTCACAATACTGTTTTACTACCACATCTATCTATTTCCAAAACTTTTTCATCTTCCCCCACAAAATCTCTATATCCATTAAATAATAGTTTCCCACCCCCTCTTCCTCTCAGTCCTGGTAACTTCTATTCTACTTTCTGTCAGCATGAATTTGCCTATTCTTGGTAGCTCATATAAGTTTAATCATACAATATTTGTCATTTTGTGACTGACTTATTTCTCTTTGCATAATGTTTTTCAAGATTCATCCATGGTTATAGAACGTGTCAGTACGACATTCTTATATTTATGGCTGAATAATGTCCCGCTGTGTGTATAGATCACATTTTATTCATCCATTCACCTATCGGTGCTTTGAGTTGTTTCCACCTTTTAGCTATTGTGGATAATGTTACTATGAGCACTGGCTTATAAGTATCTGTCCAGTGCCAGCTTTCAATTCTTTCGGATATACAGGAGTGAGCAAAAGTAGGCATGTTTTTTCCCCCTCAAATCACCCTCATCTCCCATTTATCTTTCTTTGTGTGTGTGCCACTCCCTCCTGGGTCCTCTATCTTGATTTTTATGGAGCTGGGGATTCCCACGGGGATTCTGTGAAGATGAGGGCACAGGGCCGGGGTTGACTGTGGCCGCCTTTAGGCAGCCAGATACAGAAAAGCGGGGAGAGACAGAGGGCTGCAACTGCCGGGCGCTGAAAAGTAGAAACTGGGCCAGAAGGAGAGGGTGGCAGGTGGGAGGACCAACCTTCCAGAGACTATTGGCTTCAGACAGGCTCCCAGATGAGGGAGTCAAGCACTTAGCAGCAGGTTACCATGGCAACCGTGAGATCTCGCGAGACAGACATCGCGCCTGCGCAGTGCTGCGGCTGGGCCCCCAGGAGCCTCCCACCCCCACCAGACTCCCAATCTCCACGTGTTTACAGCCCGGTCCGCCCTCCGTACCCCTTCGGCCGCGGGTGGCTGTGAGCCGACATTTCCTGTTGTAAGTGAGGTAACGCGGAACGGTGTAGAGTGATTCGGTGAGCGTTTGGAAGGCGGAGCGGGGAGGGCGCGGGCTGTGCGCACGCGCGCTCGGGAGAGGGAGCGGGCGCCGCGGTCGCGGGAGGGGGCTCCTCGGGCCGAGTCCGGGCTGGGACTCGCGGGGTGCGGGCTGGAAGGCACGCAGGGTCTCCAGGGCTCGCCCTTGGCCCCGCCTCCGCCGCCTGGCCGCCCTGCCCAGGCTGTCCCGGCCTCGGCTCCCGCTCCGTGCTCGGCCCGGTGTTGAGTGTCTTGGGTACGAGAACTGTAAGATAAAGCCTCTCTCTGGCCTTACAGTATCCACAGCCTGGGAGTGGAGCCGGACCACAAAATAACCACAATCGGGTA